TATGTCGAAGTAAATTATTTGATTTATTTTCTAGATATTGAAATTCTCCTGCTGTTTGAAAATCTGAGTGCAGCTCCCTTTTGGACCTAGTTTTAGTTTTATTTGTTTTATTTAGACTCCTTCTTTCAAGTACATATTTCTCAATCCGGGCAATGTATTCAGTGTAACTTGGAAAATTATTACAGGCTTCTCGAATTTTAATAAGTTCACCATAGCTTGGTAGAGCCTCACAATCATGTTTAGTTTTTAGGTATTCATTGTATGTGGGTAATTGTGGTAATTCTTCATCTTTCTCAATTCTTTCTTGTACTTCTTCTTCATCACATTCACAATCCTCATAGTATTCATCATTATTTACATCCCCGTTAGAGCCGACTTCGTTGGTTGTTTCTCTCTTTGTTCGATTAGATCTTTCTTGTTCACGTCGAATCTTTTCTTCCCTTTTCTTCTCAGATTCTAGATATTTCTTCATTTTTTCTTCCCGACGTTGTTTAAATTCTTTCATTTCAATTTCATATTTCTCGCGTTGTTTCCTAATTTCTTCTTGTTGAGCACGTTGTCGTTCATAATATTCTTTGTTTTCAGTTGTTGTTTGGATTAAAGGTTGTGGTGTTGGCAGTTTTGGTATCTCCTTCATTGGTATTTGATAGTTGAGAGCTTTTGTTTTCTTTAGAATAGCAAAACCTTCATCACTAAGTAATAAGTCAAGATTACAATCTTTAACTCTTATGTTGGATGTAAAACTTAATGCTATCTGATTTTGACTATTAATCCACAAACCATTGTTGTAGACACCATCTAGCTTTCCAATTGAAATATATTGACACTTCTGGTCTTTGTTAACATCCCAGACAATAATTTCATTTTTCTTTATTTCGCAAGAACCATCTTGATACTTGCAATTCTTCATGTCAACTAGAACATTTGTTGGACGACTTTGATTGAAGTGAGAATAGACCTTCGTTTCAATAATAACACAATTCTCTTTATAGTATCTTTTAGGTGAGAACAAACTAGTGAATCGATTTGGATAATCTAGTTCAACTTTATTATTTGTGCTCCAAAAACCAGAGGTTCCACTAACAAGTGCACCGTATCCACATTTCTTTGATGCAATCATTTCTCTGCACTCTTCTAATGTAATCGAATGATGGTTTAATTCCTTTTCTACTAGATGCTCATATCCTGAGAAATCGGTGTACATTGATACTTCACTAATTAATTTTTTACACAATTTTCCTTCTGACGCATACTCAATGATGTTGGGTTTAAAAACTTGATACTTTACAACTTCTGCTTGTGGTGATAATTGCCTGTGGTAGTTACACTTGTGCAATTTTGGTAATCTAAAGTACTGAACTGGAGAATTTTCTGTACAAATGATACTCTTAGCAAGTACATCATAGAAGGAAAATGCATAGAAAAAGTAAAATCCCAATAGATTCATCCGATTTTGACTTCTAAATATTAACTTAATAATAATTTCAAATAAATAACTTTTGTATTTAATATTAGAAAAAAATATTCTAAATAAATTAAAAGTAAAGGATCTCCTGCGAAAATGGCGGAAGCAATTGATAGAATACTCATTGTTGACAATCCTATTGTGAGCGATACATCTATTCAAAAAGAGAATCTGATTAGTATATTTCCTTCATCAGGTTCGAGCTTGAATCAACATGGAGAAATTAATTTTATTATAGAAACTTGTGATCAGTATCTTCTATTACACAAATCTTACATCTATTTAGAAGCAAGTTTAACTAAAATTGATGGTACTGCATTAGCTGATGCTGATGAAGTCTCATTGACTAATAATGCCCCAATGTTTCTATTTGACAGAGCAACTTATAGTATGGATGGGATGCAAGTTGAAAATATTATAGATCCTGGAAGAGCTAGCTTGATGAAAGGACTTTTAACATATTCTTCGACAATGAACAAACAAAATACTTTTGGTTGGATTTTAGAAACGAAAGATATTATTACTTATAAAGTTAACAAATATACCAAGAATAGAAAAGGAGGTCTTACGTTTTGTATTCCATTGACACACGTTTTCGGATTTGCAGAATGTTACAACAGAATAATTTATGGAAGAAAACACACTCTAAGTCTCTACAGATCACCCGAAAACAAAAATTCAATTGTTTCTACTGATCCTGCTGAATTTACCGCAAAAATGACAATAAATAAATTACAATGGATTATTCCAAAAATTGTGCCTAGCCTTGAGATGCAAAATAAATTATTAAACACCTTTGAAAGTAATAAACTTCTCCAGATGCCCTTTATTTCAAGACAATTTGAAAGTTATAACATTCCAAATGGTAATCGTGAATTTACTTGGAAACTTGGAACAAAATATGATAAAATAAAATACCTTGTCATTGCTTTTCAAACTGCTAGAGATAATAATTACCTAAATGCTGCCAAATTCGACAATTGTGGATTAGAAGAAATTTATGTTGAACTAAACTCTGAGCGTTATCCATATGAATGTTTAAAGTTTGACTTTGATAAATTCAATGCCGTCCAGCAATACAATTTCGCTAAAGAATTCAGAAATAGTTATTACGAATCAGTCAAAGATTACATTTTCATGGAGGAAGATGTATATTATTATTATTATCCGTTGTTAGTTTTTGATGTTTCTAAGCAAAATGACCGCATAATTCAAAGTAGACCTGATGTTACCATAAAGGCAAGTTTTAGTAAAAATATTGTTCAAAGTACTAAATGTTATTGCTTAATTTTGAGTGAAAATATTGTTGAAGTGAAAGATAATCGCATTAAAGTGGTTAGTATTTAAGATCTGGAATCCATGAATTGAACTTTTCAGGATATCCATACCATTTAACAAAAATTTCTTTCATTCCCTTTCTTGTTCTACGTTTGATTATTTTCTCGATTCGGTATTCTTCTTTGATATTGTTGAAAATAGCTAGTTCTTCTTCATAAAACTTACCTGTAATTTCTTCATCTCCAAGATCTACTAGGTCATACGTTATTGGTGAAGTTGGATTAACTTTACTAATTTTGAAGATCTCAGTAGTCCAATTTGGAAGATAGCCTTTAGCAAAAATGGATTTATATTTTGTGATTCTAACAGAGTCACCTACCTTAAACTTGGGGATTATTTTTTCTTCTTTATTTGATGGAAATAAATTAGTATGAACAAGAGAACTCATTTCTGGATTAGATGCTTCTTTTGGAATCATTTTAATACTAGTATGGTAATGGTTATTGTAACCTTCTACAAGATCATCAAGGGTGTCTATCCATTTATGATTCCCATTCAAAGTAAAAACTTTCCACATTTTTTCTTTTAGAGTCCTATTAAATCTCTCAACAATGGATGCTTTCTTATCTGAATAAGTTGAAAAATGATTGATTTCGAGACTTTTAAAGAGTTTGTTCATCTGAGAGTTGTAGTACTCCTTTCCATTATCTGTTTGCATCTTCTTTGGCTTTCTACCTTTAGAAAAGATGTTCTCAAGTGCATCAGCAGTTTCTTTGCCACTCTTAGTTTTTAGTTTTTCAACCCAAGCATATTTACTAAAACAATCGATAACAGTTAAAAGATATTTAAAACCATCATTTTCTTTTGAATAAGGAATCATTTCAACGAGATCTGATTGCCACTGCTCATCTATTTCATTGATGTAAACTCTTTGTGTTTGAAAGTTCTTACGAGCTGGTTTATGAAGTGTGTAAACATCTTGTTGATTTAGGAATTCTTTTACAACTTTTGGAGGTTTTTTAGTTAGTCTTGAGAGTTCATTGATACCACAAAAACCTGTTTCAGGCGAGTAATATGTTTTTTCTAGGAGTACTTGGTCTTTTAAGTCTTCAAATCCTGAGCCCAAGTTCAAATTAGTGGCTGGAATAAGCTTAAACTTTGCGGTGTTACAGTGCTCGCATTTCCCTTTCATCATATTTCGATTGTTTTTGGTAATGATGTATGTGACTTCAATTGAATTTGTACGTTGTTTACACTTGAAACAATGTATTTGATCCATTTTATTTAGAACAACAAAAAATGATGAAGTACAATTGATTTCGAAATAACATAAATTAGTTAGCATCCTTATCTTTAAGCTTTTTTCAACTGCTCTTTTAAGCGCAACTTTTGGATTCTTGAAGAAAGAATGACAAACTCAAATAATTTTAGTTTTAAAAGAAAACACAAAATAGTACCCAGCTCAAAAGGATGTATTTAAAAAATAAATGAATTATCTCTAGTTTGAAGCGAGATAATCGACTTGGAAGGATAATTTATGCAAAAAAAAGTAGAAAATTTTGAGCAGAAAATTGTTGGGTTTTGTCACTTTTTTCTATCTCTTTTCACCACTTTCGCTTTTTCCTCACGCCGCGATGTGATTGATTCGCAGTTGAACCAAGTGCACGCAACGCGTTGGGCTAGAGTGGAAGGGAGTGACGCGTCTGTTAGCAGAGACACAGAGGAAGGCGATTCGTAAATGGACAAGATTCTTGGTGTTACCCTGTAGTTCACGTTGTGCGTGTTTCCCATCCGCCGTGGTTATCATTGTTATTTTCTCCTCAAATTTTAGTTAGTTAAAGAGTTAAAGAAACCGGGAATGCAAAAGAATTTCTGTGTAAAAGCTAGAACCGATAAATTTCAGTTGATTTTAATTAGAGTCCTGAAAATTTGCATATGAAACACGACAGAAATATTGGGAAAGAAAAATCATTTTCATTTTCTCCTGCTGTTTGTTCCCGAATTGTCGGTCTCCTTATTGTTAAGTTTTGCTCTTTGTTGTCATGAAATTTACGTTCTTTTACTTAATTTTTAGTACTACGCCATTTAGAAGTAATTATCTGTTAAGTTGCGTTGCAATCTAACTGTGCTAGTTTTTTCCGGAAATGAACGCTTTTCCTTTCTTTCTATTTTTTCTTATCATAAAGAGTGTGTGTAGAAAATTAATTTTTTATTTTTAGAATCGTCTTTCAAAATGTCTGAAACGATACGACTCAAAATGCTCGACAAGGATGTTGCCTTCAAATTGTCGGACAATCAGATAACCGAAAGCTCCATCAAACACGCTTTTCTTCTTCCGCCAGATGCGATTGTGAAGTTGTCGTATCAAGAAAATGGTCAACAGATTGATTGCCGGTAAGTTACTTTATTTCTGATTGTATTTCAATTAATTTAGGATGAACGAGACAGGCACAACTTTTTTGCTTCCCGATGGCTGGTCTTCTATGCAGTTTCATGTCGAATCGGATCAAGCACCTTCAAGACCGTCTACTCCTGCTGATCAAGGTTTGTATGATATAAAAAATGCAATTAATCAACTTTTTATTCTATTTTAGTAAAGAACAACGCCCCAGTTTATGTTCCAATAGGTATGTATTTTTTATGACTTTAATGGCGATTGGATAAGAACCTAATGCCTAAAGTACTTTAACATTTTTTTCAGATACTGGTGATTTGATTCTTCAACTCGAGAAGTATTTCTTCTATGAAGAAATTGGCGACAACAAAGCTTGTTTCACTGTGCTCTCGTCTCATTATGCAATTAGTTTCAACCATGGGCCTCATCAGACCTGGCGTTCAAGTCCAGATGAAGTATGTTTTTATTATCTACAGTTATAATCTAAAAAAAAAATCATTTATTGTTTAGAAACAAACATCAGTGACCATCTGCAATCAAGAAGGGCAAAAGTTTGAGACGAAAGTTGTCGAATGCGACGCCGAGATTGACTTTATCGTTGTGCATTCCGACGTTCCACTTGTTTCTAAGCCGCCAATCATTGAATTCCCGAAAAAATTGGAACGATATATCCTTTTGGTAACTTTTCATCGTTTAAATAATTTTATTACTTTTTTCAGGGATATCCGGAGAGTGATTCAAACTACCAAGCCCTTGAAGGCATATTCTCTACTATTGATCGTGATAAGAATGGTCGAATGCGTGGTTCAAGCGGGAGTACGCGAGGATACAGCGGCGGACCTGTTTTCAATTACAAGGGAGAATTGCTCGGGATCAACGTTGCAAACGAGTCAGCACCGAAGTTCATGGGATTAAATGGCAACAGTACGGTGAATGAGATATTTAATGAGATGTCTCATTCATTTCCTTTTCTATCAGTAATTGTTCCTGCTGCTTTTATTTTGTTCAAATACAATGACAATTAATCTGAGTTTTGAAATTATTGAGTGTCTAAGAATTGAGCATAATAAAATTTGTTTTTTTTTTTTAGATTCTATTAGCGCAATTTATGACTCGTGTGTTTCAACCACCAGAATTCTTCAAAATCCGAAAACTTGTGATAATTGAAGGTTTTTGGCTTGTTAGAGCGTCAAAAAACGCTAAAAACGGTGAAAAATTGAAATCACCCTGTTATGGGTGTTTGGTGCGCCAGAAATTTTTTTCTAAACTCACCCAAAAATAGAAAAACACGTAAAATCATGCTTAAACTCGCAAAATTTAGTCATTTTTTGCTGAAAAAGACGTCTTTTTGTCTTTTTTACGAAGAGGGTGAAAGGGTGCGCTAGCGTGACCCATTATACTACTACTAAAGATATAAGTTTTATACCTTGAATAGCTTTAAGATTTGAGCTACAGTAACATCTTTTGCTGTAAAGAGTGCTACAGTATGATTCTGCAGTACAGCATTATCGCTTACTGTTAAATTCTACTGTATAGCATCTACTATATAGCTATTGAGGTTACCGTATTGAGTACTACATCATGCTACAGTAGGGTCGGTAACGCCCAGAGCTATATGAATATGAACTACAGTATAGTATTCAAGTGTATTCAAGCGTAACACTGAATATCTTAATTAAAGGCTTAAAAAACATTCAGCTTTGTTAGCTGATTACTTTTATTTGAATAGTATCCACTATATATAAAAGAGCAGTGTCTGTCCTTCTGTACGCAATTTTCATCACGAGAACGGGAGAAGCTAGAGCTTCAAAAACAACACGCTTATAGGTTTTCAGGGTCGAGGAGTTCCCAGAGGGCAGATTTTTCAAAGTCAAAATTTAGTGGCACTACGGGGGGTCGAACCCGGATCGTGTGGATCGTAGACAAGCGCGAGAGGTTGACACCTCTGAACCACGAAGCACTATAGAAAAACGCAACACTTTTTTGCTGAACCAAAAAATTGAAATTGACTGCAGAAATTAACTTGAAATTTCATATAAATATGAAATTAGGGAAATTGAATAATTGGGTGTTGAGTAAAGTGTGTACATCTCAAGTAAGTAATTACTTGAGCAAATTTTTCCAAGTCATTTTTTTACTTGAGTAAGCGTCAAGTAATGCCGATTCCAAAACGCACTCCTTTAGCAGTTTAGTATAAAAGGAACCAATTATTTTATTTTATGAACATTTTCCTGCTAAGCTTTTAGCTGGATTCAATAATTCAAAACATCTATTTTTCTTCAATAAATGCTTGCAAGGAGTCTTTGCCAAATTATGTGTAAATCGAAAGTCTTTCTTAAAAGTGTTGACTCTGACCGGATTCGAACCAGCGACCTCACAGTGGCTCGTTTTAGAAGCTAACGCGTAGCCCACACGTAACTCGTGAGGCCATAATGAGAAATTTGGTGTTTCTTATCAACTCTAAAAACTAGAAATTGACAAATTGAAAAGTTAATTGACATATTGAAGAAGAAAGAGATTTAGATCTAACTTTTACAATAGTAAATGAAAGACAGTCCAGTAGTCTTTCAAAAGATGAAATTTTCCTTTTTCGCCCAGGATTAGAATGAAATGATACTTGATTAGAACAAAAGAAATGATGAGATTATGAAATTTTGAGAGAAATGTCTGCTCTTGCTGAGAAATTGCTCAAAAAAAACGAAAAAGCTACTGTATTCCGTTTGCCCTTCACATGTACTTAAGTGTTGAGAATTTGAAAATGAAGCTTACAGTTTCACGGTTTACAGTACTGCTAGATCACATAGATAACAAGATTACGGCCACATTAATAGCCTACACAACAACAAGGTTGCGGTAGCTTTTTTCGAAATTGAAGAAACAAGAGGGACACTGGCTCTAGCAAAACTGTAAAAGATGAACAAATCCAAAGGCTTCCCATGCCGTTTCGGCTTTTTCTACACCATTTCACCTAGAACTACGGGTTCTACGCAATTTTTTGGGAATTTTCCCTCCTCAATCGCTTCTGCGTTGCTGCCACCTCTTTGAGAAAAGCTTCCCATTGGGCTCGAGTCTCGAGTCTTGAGCGGCTGAATTTCAAAAGTTACCATTCAATGGGGAAAAGCCAAATCAAAGCCAATGACTTTCAATTGACCTTGACCTGGACTTGACCACAATTTGGTCCACAATCAAAACAATACTAAACTTTAAGCAATTCTTTGCGTTTTCTACTCATATTTTCTTAGCGATCTTTCATCAAAATCACATTATTTTTGTATGAGCAGAAGCAGAATTTCGTCAATAGTTTTTAAAAACCAAAAGAGCTAGCAAAAAAATGTTAGAATTGAAAGAGTTATTCTTCCAAGCTTGTAAACCGAATGGGTAAATCTAGCAAATTTCGCTATCTCTAGCAGATTGTGAGCCCGGATCCTGGCTTCCAATCTCATTCTTGGATTCAACCCAAGCATCTTGACTTTGTCTAAAATTTACGAGGAATTTTGGCCAAAAAGAATGGACTTCGCTTTGGCGAAACTGAGAATTTGACCCTAGGAGCAACCCTGGTAAAGCTACGTAAAGATGTTGTCAATCCCAGTCAATCTCAAATGTGCTGCCAAACCTCGAGCACCAGAGGCGATGCGTTCCCAGTCAGAGCGCAAGGTACACGATAAATCTGAAGAATCGCTCCGTTGCTTCAAGTCACTCAAATGAAATAACGATTCTTTTGTGAAAGCGATAATTTGATGATTGAACGGATTGAGGATTGAAAGTTTGAGGGTTTTCAAAGATTGACTCGACTAAACCAGCTGCATAAGCTTGATTTGATGAAAGTGGCTAAATAAAACATTTTACAAAACTTTTTGCTAAAAATCCTTAGCTGTGGATTCGTTTTTTAAGAATTTCATAAAATAAAAGTCGAATTTCTCGAAAGAAACAGCAAGAATTTCGCCCAAAAAACCCAATCCTGTTCGACCGTCGCACTTACTATTTTTTAGGATTGATTTGAGACGATCAAGGTGAAACACACTCTTTTCGAGAAATGAAAAAACTTCCTGAATCGATTTTCTGTTTAGAAAATCGAAACTACCTTTTGAAAGAAAACGCAAGGTTTCAACAGACGATTGAACTCGTCCATTTATGAATTCGAATCTATCGAAAAGATCCAAAAAATCGGGCACTTTCTCGGGCCACCTTGGGTAGATTTCACCCTAAAGGGGCTCAAAAATTCGGTCATTATACATAAATACATACATGTACATAGGTCAAAGGAACATAGGAAAAGTAGCTTTCGCAGGCTTAATTTATTTCAAAGTGTCAAGTGTTATATAGAGAATTGTAGCCCTTAATCTTGGCTACATTTATCTACTGAAGACTTTCCAATCGAATGTGTATGTTACATGCGATCTAGAGTGAAGTGAAGTCAAACGTCCGATCTATTAGGTTGTTCGGATCTAAACGAGCGTTTTAGTAATCGACAAAATTTACCTTAAAAACAGAAACAACACAGTTTAATCCAAAGTATATTCACCATTATTATTGACTGCTTCTTGCCATCTTTTGCGCAAAGAATTGATGCCGCTCTTGAAAAACTCAGCCGGCTGTGCCTCAAAAAACTTGGCGACCCAATTTTGGACATCTTTACGGTTTTTGAATTTCTCATTGGCCAAAAAGTTTTGAATCGATCGGAATCTGAGGGTAATCTGAGGGAGCCAAATCGGCGGATGTGGTAAAACCTCCCATCCTAGATTCTCCAGTTTTTGCTGAGTCATCTTTGCAACGTGAGGTCTAGCGTTGTAATGGATGAACTTTATCTTTGCTGTGTCTACTCCTTGACGAATGAGAACTTCATTGACCTGATCAAGTTGCTGTTTGTAGAGGTCGGATGTGACTGTTTGACCGGTTTGTAGAAGCTCGAAATACACAAGGACCTTGTTATTCCACCATACTGAGAGCATGATCTTTTTCCCATGAATGTCAGGTTTCACGGTCGGATTTGGCCGTTCTCCTGGTCCTAGTCATTTCATTTTTCGAATAGTATTATCGAAATGGATCCACTTCTCATCTCCAGTAACGAGAGAATCAAAAAAGCTATGATATTTAGTGTGGCGGATGAGGATTCCGGCAATAGCGACCCGTGAAGCCTTTTTTACACTGCTTAACTCGTGAGGAAGCCATTTCCCGCATCCGATTGTCTTTTCAATGGCGCGGTGATGCTCATCAATGGTAGAATTTGGACATAGAAACTGTTGAGCAAGTTCACGCGTCGTTTGACAAGGATCCGGTTCGATTGCAGCCCTCAAAATATCGTTATCTATCGCTTGAGGTCGACGAGAGTGTTCATCATCCTCGAGACTTTCACAACCATTCCGAAAGCGTCGGAACCAGGCTCTTGGCTTTCGGACAATACATCATTCCCAAATGCTTTGACCAAATCTCGATGGGATTTCGCGACTTTTTTTTGCCCAGTTTGAAGTGGTAAAGTAAGCAGACGCGAACTTGATATTCGAAATCGGTCATTTCAAGCAAGAAAAAAGATCTTAAAAATAACAAATTATAACAAATTACAAAAGAACCGAAGCAAAATATGCGAAGAGCTTGGCGCTTTTCAGAAATGCCTACCATGCAAGCAAGTTCTATTGCCAGGATTGCCCAACCGATCCCAATTGTTATCCAGAGACAATGGTTAGTGATTTTTATTAAGAAGCTTATAAAAATAGTTTATGGTTTATTTACCGTTGAAGGAAAAGTGATATGTGGATTGGAAATGTGATTATTATTTTTACAGAATCGTTGTGTGGCCTGGTGCTCCACATGAAAGCGCTACTTCTCGTCAGATCGGCGTCAAAACCACAACACTTATAGAGTTTAAAGTTTAACAGTTCAAAGCTAAAGTACGTCTTTAACAGTTTAAGATACAGCACACAAACTGATTTCTGCTATTATTTGCAAGTGAGCGAACAAGAAAATCAGTCGATAAATCGATCATTTTGCAGAATTTCACCTACATTGACGGAGTGCATTGGCACATGTACAATTGGATGACGGCTGATGGCAATTGCGTGAAAATGGGATCACAGTTGGCGCCGATTCACCCGAGTGTCGAGAACGCCTTCACTTATGGTTTGCTTGAGCATTTCAGGGTTTGCAACAAGGAAATTTGACAAATCTAATCGCGTAGTACGTCTATCCGGACACGAAAAACTTCCAAACAACGAGGTTTAAAAAGTTTCCAAATTGGCGCAAGATAACGTACTTTTAAATACAGAAAGATATGTTTTAAAAGCTTCTCTCACAACAAAAAGTTTAGCAACGCTTGTTTATATCCGAACAACCTAATAGAATCAAGCCGATCACTCTAAATCTAAGTCTGCGTCGGACGTCTGATTTAGAGTAATCGGCTCGACTCTAGATCGAAGGTCCTATCTAGAATCAGTCTAGATCGGAGGAATTTTATTGGAAGAGGCTTTTGTTAAGCTGTCGAAATAGTCATACGGAGTTCGATCTGTCCAACTTCCGTTCCCAGGCACATGATCAAGCTAATCCAGGCCCATTGAGCGGCACATGGATCTTTGTTTGGAACCGCGTTTTTCTTGTCTGAAATTTTCTGCATTTCTGAAGAGCGCCAACCGCTCTTCGCATATTTTGCTTCGGTTCTTTTTTCGGCATAAACTTTAAACTCTATAAGTGTCGTGGTTTTTACGCCGATCTGACGAGCGCTTTCATGTAGAGCACCAGGCCACACAACGATTCTGTAAAAATAGTAATCACATTTCTAATACACATATCACTTTTCCTTCAAGGGTAAATAAATCATAAACTATTTTTATAAGCTTCTTAATAAAAATCACTAACCATTGTCTCTGGATAACAATTGGGATTGGTTGGGGAATCCTGTCAATAGGACTTGCTTGCATGGTAGGCATTTCTGAAAAGCGCCAAGCTCTTCGCATATTTTGCTTCGGTTCTTTTGCATGCTGCTTGATTTAGTGGGCTTCCCGGTGCACATCCGCGCGAAATAAGGTAAAAAATCGTTTTCTATAGGATTTTTACGTTTGAATAGCCGATTGACGCAGAAAAATGTGCTGAATCCGAAAATAAAAGAATTTTTGAAATCCCTTGGACAAATTTTTTAAAACTCGAGTTTTAGTGATTTTACTGTGTTAAATTTCAGCCATATTTTATTGTCAGAGCAAAATTTTGGAAAAAAAAAGCCTAAAACAAAAATCTAAACCGCAAGTTTTATTCTACGGGCTTTTCTCTATCTTTTGATACCAAAAGTATAAAAATTGATAAACCCTATAAAAAGTTATAACCTTTTGAAAATAAAAATGTGGTTTCTGGGTTAGGGCAAAATCGCGTTTGAAGAATTGACCCGGGTAGATGATGCAATCCAACATGAGCTTTTACTGAACGTGTTCCAATATCGAGTTCTTCCATTTTTCCTAGCAGAATTTTGTATTGATTGTTGAGCTAATCTCTTTATCCGATAGTTTCAAATTTGTCACTGAAGAGTTTTTGCAGAAAGCGTCGAAGGTTTCTAAGCATTCACATAGGTGTGTATATCTTTGGGAAAACGTAATAGCTTGGAAGTCGAGCCTATGCGAACATCACTTTTTCAACTTGAGTCCATTTAAATCTTCAGATTTAAAGGATTTAGAAAAGCCAAGGCGTAGAGTCAATTCTTCAAACGCGATTTTGCCCTAACCCAGAAACCACATTTTTATTTTCAAAAGGTTATAACTTTTTATAGGGTTTATCAATTTTTATGCTTTTGGTATCAAAAGATAGAGAAAAGCCCGTGAAAAACAACTTGCGGTTTACATTTTTGTTTCAGGCTTTTTTTTCCAAAATTTTGCTCTGACAATAAAATATGGCTGAAATTTAACACAGTAAAATCACTGGCATGGTAGGCATTTCTGAAAAGCGCCAAGCTCTTCGCATATTTTGCTTCGGTTCTTTTGTATGCTGCTTGATTTAGTGGGCTTCCCGGTGTATTTCCACACCCGAGCAATTTCTGATCCGCCTTATTCAGCTTTTCTGAGAAAAGAAACATTCGAAGCTAGAGTTCATTTTCTTTGGCACAAAAACCAATTTGATCCGTCCGGTCGATGAGAAGGCCACCCAGCACATCACTCCTCTTCCTTTGAAGTTTCTCCGCGAAAAGTGCGATTTGTCTTTACGTAGGTCAATAGTAGCGACCACCATCCGACCCATCACAATTGAATTTCTTTTCATCTGACCAAACGATCTAAAGCAATGAAAATTTATAAAACACAAACTTAATTGACTTACTGAGCACCAGTCAATTTGCCGGTTCTTGTCTGCGAAGTTCAACCGCTTCTTTTGATTTATCGGCGTAATAAAGGGGGCTTTTCGCATGCGCCTGCGAGCAATCAACTTGCTTTTTGATAAAACTCTTCGAATTGTCCTTGAGGAGACTCCCAGATTCCGATCCGCTTTGATCTGCCTTTAAAATTATGATCACTCGTCAGAGGCACTTTTTGAATAAATTTTATTTTTCTTTAAAAGTTTCAAATATCATCTCCTGGATTTTTGCAGTTATACATGTAAAATTATAATAGTAATGATGTTTAAAAGACAATTTTATTGGATACTCAATATTTTCCAAAAAATCGTCTGCGCGATTTCGATGCGGTTTGTGCGGAACAATTCCTTCAAAAGCTTCCGTTCATTTGGTAATTGTGAAATTAAAGCATGATGTTTGTGTCTGTTTTAGTATGAAGAACAACGCGTTTCGCAGCAAAACGTGAAAACGATATGGAAAGTTAACTCATTTACGAATTCGAGTGCCCTTTGCAAGCAAGTTTTTTTCTAAGCTCGTAGTACAAGCTTTTAAAATCCGCGTAAGGTCATCCAGCAGTGTTGGGGTTACAGATGGCGTGTCGTGTGAGACAACGCATTGTCTCACAAATGCTATCCTATTTTTGCTTTGTGATTGGGCAGGTCACCACAAAAATTGACTTTCTCAAATCATGGTTCTATGACACTCAATGTATGTAGTTTTACCCCCAATCACGAACATGCCATTAGAAAAGAAAATAAAAATTCCGTCATGGTGAGAGTTCTTGTGAGTTGTGGAAAAGCGTTAAGTTGCGTAGTTTTTGCCTTTTAGCCCAAATTTAACGTGTCAGCGACGTCTGATTTGTCGAAATTCGGAATCTACGCATACGATTCCATTAACATTTTTGAAGCTCTACGGCCTTTTTCAGCCAAAAAAAGGTGCGCAAATGTTCAGGTGCGAAAAAAAGGTCGCATTTGTCCCACCACCCACGAGATTCGCATCTCAAAATTATCCGGACAACTTTTTGGAAAAGTAGTTTTCGCAGGCTTAATTTATTTCAAAGTGTCAAGTGTTATATAGAGAATTCAGCCCTTAATCTTGGCTACATTTATCTACTAAAGACTTCCCAATCGAATGTGTATGTTATTAGGTTGGTGAATTGAAAACTGCGGGACTTTGAACTTGAACTTTGAAAATTTATTCAACATAAAACCATGAATTCATTCCAAATAATTTCCATTATTATTGACGACTTCTGCCCATTTTACAGGCAATTTGCGGACTCCTCTTTCATAGTAGGATTTTGGTTTGTGTGTGAGACAAGTGTGAGACTCAAAAATGGAGGACGAGATGTCCCAGTTTGAGCACTTTCTTCAAAAGAAACCCATTTTGGTGTTAATAGAAAAGTTGTAGAGAATCAAAAATTAGGCTTATAGCCAAAAAGATACACTTAGTAGTTTCGCTTAAAATGCAAGTTTTGTGAAAATTCGTAAATTGGGCATTTCCTGAAAACCAGTTTTTGAATCGTTCTGAAAATTTGGACATAAGCTTCATTTTTGATTCTCTACAACTTTTCCATTGACACCAAAATGGGATTGTTTTGAAGAAAGTGCTCAAACTGTGACATATGACAATAGCCCTCAGTTTTCGATTCACCAACCCAATACATCCGATCTAGAGTGAAGTAAGGTCAAACGTCCGATCTAGAATCAAGCTAATCCAGGCACATGGATCTTTGTTTGGGACCGCGTTTTTCTTGTCCGGATAGACGTACTACGTGATTAGATTTGTCAAATTTCCTTGTTGAAAACCATAAATGAAAGCCTTCTCGACACTCGGGTGAATCGGCGCCAACTGTGATCCCATTTTCACGCAATCGCCATTAGCCGTCATCCAATTGTACATGTGTCAATGCACTCCGTCAATGTAAGTTAAATTCTGCAAAATGATCGATTTATCGACTGATTTTCTTGTTCGCTCACTTGCAAATAATAGCAGAAATCAGTTTGTGTGCTGTATCTTAAACTGTTAAAGACATACTTTAGCTTTGAACCGTTAAACTTTAAACTCTATAAGTGTCGTGGTTTTGGCGCCGATCTGACGAGAAGTAGCGCTTTCATGTAGAGCACCAGGCCACACAGCGATTTCGTAAAAATAATAATCACATTTCCAATACACACATCACTTTTCCTTCAAGGGTAAATAAAGCATAAACTATTTTTATAAGCTTCTTAATAAAAATCACTAACCATTGTCTCTGGATAACAATTGGGATTGGTTGGGGAATCCTGTCAATAGGACTTGCTGGCATGGTAGGCATTTCTGAAAAGCGCCAAGCTCTTCGCATATTTTGCTTCGGTTCTTTTGTATGCTGCTTGATTTAGTGGGCTTCCCGGTGTATTTCCACACCCGAGCAATTTCTGATCCGCATTATTTAGTTTTCTGAGAAAAGAAACATTCGAAAATTGATTAGAAAATGACTTAACGCGGATTTTAAAAGCTTGTACTACGAACTTAGAAAAAAACTTGCTTGTAAAGGGCACTCGAATTCGTAAATGAGTTAACTTTCCATATCGTTTTCACGTTTTGCTGCGAAACGCGTTGTTCTTCATACTAAAACAGACACATACATCATGCTTTAATTTCACAATTACCAAATGAACGGAAGCTTTTGAAGGAATTTTTCCGCACAAACCGCATCGAAATCGCGCAGAAGTAGGGAAAATAAGTCAAGAATAATGGGTGAATCGAATAAAAACATCTCATTGAGGTAATAAATGAATTTTTACCGCGTTGAGAAAGCGTTTCGTCAACCTTGGCATTTAAATTGACTTAATTTCATATGTAAATCACTCGCTAGTCCACTTACACTTGCAAACAAAATCTTAACTCGTATAATCTCTGTAATACATTGTTTCAAGTTTTACCATCCCAATTCATATGTTGTTTCTGCAAATTTTTATACAATTTATTCGAATAACCCGATTGTCAGAACAAAACCATCAAAATGTTTAAAAATGTTTCGGGTGATGCTTGGGCAAAAACGGAACAAGGATAGGATTGCGTATCGAAAGATAAACAAGGCTGTTTGCTCTTTCATCTCGCTTCAAACACCATCTACTTTTTCGCAGAAAGGTGCTCAACTTCACTCAGAGAAACCTCACACTAAACAAACAACTCTAGACAATTTATTTTATAATTTTACAAGGATCGGAGTGCGTATCGAAAGATAAACATGGTTAACGCGTTGATTCCGTTCAAAAGAAAGCATCAATACGCAATTAATAGAAAAAAAAAACTACGGCTATCACAAAATAGCGACTAAAAGACAAACACGGGGAAATTTTGAGCGAGCATAAAAAACACAAAACAGCAGATGAAGATTTCTTTAGGCAATGTACTCATAAACATTCATCGTATCCTCGGCCCGTTTGAGGAAAAGACGCTCCATGAGACCCTCAATCGACGTACGCACCTTCATCACGTTTGGAGTGAATCGAGTGGAGAGCTGTTGAAGAACCTAAAAGTAAACACGTATGTCTTTATTTATTTTGACTTCATCGGACTTTCTGCATTTAATAATGTAGACTTCATTAATACTTACCTCGGAGATCAATTCATTGTGTGCAAGTCGCTTACGAGTCTTCATGATTCGAACAATGCAAGCCTAAATTCATTAATTATGCTTTTCCGCTACAAATGAAACCTCAATGACGAGTCGTCGGTCCTCTTCAATGCATTTCTTGTCTTTCTCTGCCTCTTTCTTCACTTCAGAGCGCATCTGAGTTCTTGTCAAATCCACTTTGATCTTCTTGCTCTGGAAGTTTGGATCAAGCGTGAAGACAGCGGTATCAGCAATCTCGTTCTCGATTTCTGTACCGGCCGCCACATCGTCACACTTCAAAAGATCGTTCTAAAAATAAGGCCTGATTTGATTGTGACAATCAGGAGACTTGCCTTAAGAAGCGATCCAACGACAGGGACGAGTTGTTCCTTGAGCGTGTTCAATTGTAACATCATCTCTTTGAGATTCAAAGCCTGCTTCGGAGCCTCATTATAGAGCATCAAAACAGCTAAATTTAACAATTTAAACACATAACAAGAACTCGAACTTACCCATTTGAGCTGTCCATGCCTGAAAACCATATTTCTTCTGGAAACCGGTGCTGGAAAGCTCGCCTCGTGATTGTGAATAGATCCAGCTCAATTTGCGCCCATTGTGTTGAGTATTGTAGTAATTCTTGAAGTGTTCAATAGTTTCAGACAATTTCAACGGCATCTAAATAAAAGACAGCTAAACTTCAACGGAAGGCCTCAACACAAACCTGCATTTGAAGTTGTGGCATGCTTGGCCACGAGGAATATCCGAGAACCATGATCGTAAAGTCCAACCCGAGTGCAATGTCCTTCTCTTGACAATTTTTGCGGAAATTCTCCGTAATATTCTAAATTGAGATGTCATTGAAATTGGGTTTAGGCAAACCTTGCTAAGCTCTGTATCCGTAAACATTCGTTGAAGCTTGCTGGTGTATTCAAAGCCGCACATTTGCTTCAATTTTGAGATCATTTGAGATTCAGCTGTATCTGAAGCACTGAGTCCACCAATCAGCCTAAACGATAACTGAACTGTGAGATCAATCTTCTTGCAAATGTTACCGTTTCGAGAACATCTTTGTGTAAAATTGCTGAAAGACATCTTTATCCTCGATATATTTGAAGACCGCGATCTAAAGTCTCAGAATATTATCAAAGTCGCATCACACCGGAGTCCAAATTTTCAATACTTACAACATTCTGCAACTGTTCCTCCATTTCGGCTTCTCCAATGTTATCTTTGGATTTCCTAAGCAACAGATCGCAATATCTAAATTTACAATATAGCACAGCTTCACTAGAATTATACCTGGCAATAAGTTCGGGACCTTTCGAAGAACTATTTCCGGCAATCTTAGTGATCGCATTTTTATTGATGAAGTTGGACGAAGCCTAGAATCCCACAAGTTACGAATTATCACAATTTTACAAGGTTAAAGTTCAAACCTTGTCAAGTGCTTGATTAAAGCCAGCTTCATTCTGAAATGACTTTGACACGAGTCCTTTGTAGCGCATATGAACTTCCAAAATTCCTCGCATGAATTCACGTGGATCCTAAAACGTAGCCAATTAGATATAACAAAGGCAAACCCACATTTGGTGATTTCTTGGCAATTTCATCAATGGCATTCTGTCCTTGTCGCGTAATGTGACGTTCAAGAGCCAGCTTCAGTTCTTCAAGTCCTTGCTCAATACGGCCACATAGCTATAAGTGAAATAATGAAAAAAGAATCACATCAAGAATCGTTTACCTGATAAATTCTGGCAAGATCATCATCTCGTTCTTGTTCAAGCAATGGTCCAAAATCGCGTTGGAAAAGTTCAATCTTCCTCTGGATGAAAACCTAAACAATTGAGGGCTGGTGATTAAAAAGAAGAGAGCTGAACCGTTTCACAGATTTGAGAAAGCGGCTGAAGCGTGGATGTCTGAAGATAGAAGTTGCATCTTTCTGCTTCCTCGTTCAAGCGTTTTTCAATCTAAATGTGCCATTATTTTGATCCTTATATACTCAAGTGCCTTCTTCATGTATTCGGTGAATGGATTTTGTTGAAGGAAATCATCTGCCTCAGTGGTGTAGTAATTCTCCGTTTCTCCCAAGAAGCGCTTCTCGAACTTTTGTCGGTAGAACTAAATAAAATTCAAATCATAATTCATTAAAATGAAAACCTTCAGATCAGATTTCTCCACAGTACGGCTTGTGCAACTTGCGTCTTCATCAATACCCAAATCAACTAAAATGTAAAATAGTGTCCTTGTCGAACTCTAAAAATTCCCAACCATAAGATTCAACCACAGCCCGGATGAGTGATCGATCAATAGTTTGTCCATCGCGCTCTTGCCGAATCAAATCCATGACCCCTTGCATGACCTTAAAAGAATAGAATACATAAATAATTCTAAACAAATCTTACTCTAGCATCCAGTTCGCTTAGCAAAACATCTCGCCAAGTAACAAGTCCAAGCTAAAAGATAAATTTTATAAAACAATACATATTTGGTTCTTTACCGTCTTAACGTAGTAGATGGGATCACGTTTATCCTCAATTTGGCGCTTGATCCAATGTTTGTTCAGATAAGCAAAAATGCCATCAATGACCTATAAAAAGATATAAATTGTCATAAATAGAGACTTTACTTTGAAATAGAAACGGAATTGCTCCCATTTCTTCACGTAGAAGCGAACCAGTTCTTCGTCATGCTTTTCTTTGCCTTCCTAGACATTCATAAGTTTTAAACGTAACAAAACAACCTGAAGAGCTTTAATCACGGTGCGTTCAAGATAATTCTTAAGACGTTGATAAAGTTCGCCGCCAGTGAATTCAGATCCATTTCCATAGCCATTCATTGAATTTCGACTAACACCACGACCGCTTTCTAAAATTTAATTGTCATCTTATACTAGTTTAAGAAAACTTACTTGGTGCAACAATTGTTGAATCGGAGAACGAACTTGGGGTGTTGATGCAATGATTGTACACATTACTTAAATCACAAATGATCATTGCTTTGAAGTTCTGAACTTACGTGTAAAGAGTCATGTACCGTTTCTGCTCAATCCGACGTTCTCCAAAAATGTCGTCAAGTCCGGACTCAAGATCAGGCCATATTGTCTCCTAAGTGAAGCGTAAATTAACAATTTATTACAAGAAGACTTACCAAATCGACTTTCAGGTTAGCTGGGTTCATTACTATTGCTTCAGTTTCCTCAGCTTTTGTCTTTTTATCCGTTGGCAGTTTCTTCGAAGTTGAAGATAGATCTGCCTTGTGCTTTCTAAAATATTCAATCTGTATAAAAAATATAGAATTTTAGCATCATAAAAGCCTAAACTATAAATAAGGTTACGCGAATGCTACAAAATGCATGATCTAGCAACGAAAACGCGCGAAAACACTGAACAGCCTGTGCGATTCACACCAAATTTCGCTTACTACACATTGCAAAATTGAAAGAAAGCCGTTTCGATATCTTACGCAAGAAAAGAATTATGATAAAGAACTTTTATATAAATTGGAGACAGCACGTCATTTTCATGACTCATCAGCAAAAAATCAATGCCCAAAAAAATATAGTTCCATTCCAGGAATGTTAAACTTTTAAAAGCAGAATGTTCTCAAGTAAAAATGAAATAAACTCACCGAGGAGCCGTTGTAAAGCAGTAGAACTTTTGTGTAGAAAATGTACCGCTCCAGAGAAGTGTCTAAAATGAAACGATTAATGTGTGCTGAAGATAATTTCCTGTCATAAGCAAACAAAACAGAAAGAGAAAGAAAACGATCTAGAGTAGACACGAGTTTCGGCTCGGGTCGGGTTGACCGTTGAACTCAAACATAATAAACAGAAAAAACAAGCTAACATTAATTGTTCCAGCATCAGGCATTTCGCAAGATACAATAAACTTGAATAGAAAATCAAATGCTTTGTACAAACAACAATTTAATTGATTTACAAACTTTAACCTATTAACTAATGTAAAATACTAAAATGTTAGCAATTACATCAAAAACAAACAAAGACGTAACGTTCAATTTAATCATTTTGACAGTCAGTCGGTCATTTCTCGTTTTCATTGATGCATTCTTGCTACGAATGAATTTTTTTTGTCTGCGAACCACCTTTTATCGCTATCTGGGTTACTGTAGAAAGGTATTCAGCCCACTCGTCTTAATACTACGTAGTAAAATTTGCATTTACAAATTTGTTAATGATCGGTTTTTCTCTATCTGACGCGAAACTTGAAATTTTCGGGTCGGGTCAATTCGACCCGAGTTAACCCAACCCGAAACGACTTGATTGCGCATGTCGCATCTAAGGGACTGGATAAAGAAATTGGGGGGTGGCTACTTTGCGTAAAATTTTTTGCGCAACTTACCATAACTTTCTTCTAAGTGGGTCAATCTTTATGTTTTGGGTGTTATTTTGTTGCACTTGTTGAGATCTACAAAATGGCACCAAAATCATAAAAATGGCCCGCTTAAAAGAAAGTTATTCCTATGTAGCAAAATTTGCATTTACCAATTTGGGTACTACGTCGGTTGGGGGCACTTTTTTTTTCTTCAAAACCACTTTTTCTGGCGTATTTTTATGCGTGGATTCTGTAAAACACAATGAAAGCTTGGGAAAAGGCGTTTTAAACCAAGTTTCGGGGCTCCAAAGTGCGCGCTTTTATAGTGTACTTCACTATATGGAGCCCAAGCTATCGACTATTGGGGTACTTTTCAAGGTCAAAACTAGAACCAAAACCATTTTTAACCACTAAATATTCATTTTATAACTTAAATTCACTAGTAAAAGCATAAAAAATCAAAAATTTTTTTTTGAGATTTTGACTCATGGTCGAAATCTGAAAAAAATTCTTTTTATTTTGCTTTAGTTTGGTCAGGAACGTAATCAGCAGGTTAAAGTATGACGGAAGAAGTGTTTTTGGTTTCAAAAAATCTTTTGAGAGACCATTTTTAGACTTCTTCCCTTTGTGTATCCTTCTCCTCACACGAGCGCGCACTTTGCAGCCCCGAAACTCAGCTTAAAACGCCTTTTCCCAAGCTCTCGTTGTGTTTTTCGAAATCTACGCATTAAACTACTCCAGAAAAAGTGGTATTGAAGAAAAAAGGAAGTGCCCCCAACCGGCGTTGTACCCCAATTTGATTCACATTCATTAACAAATTTTATTCAACGATCAGTTTTTTTCTCTATCTGATCCGAAACTTCTCTGTAAAATTTTTTTTAGCCAAAAATAGAGATTATAGAGCGTATTGCTCATTTATGCTAGGTTTACCCCATAAGGAATCGTTTTTGTGGTGCAAAAAGTTGAATAATACGGGAAATGCTGGAAAATAATACTTTATCAAAAATCTTTAAATTTTAAGGAAAAGCTGCACTCATTTTTTGTGGGTAATTTCTTGGAGTCGACTTGTAAATAATAGAATAAAGTATTCTTGAATTGATGGATTCGTTTTTAAGAAATTCGAGTTCAAATCTGTGCAAAGACTTTCTTGCCAACCTAATACAAAAGAGTGAAGACGATTTTCGGCAAATAGACGCAAAGCCTCAGCTGGTGAATCGATGACGTGAGAAAATTTCCCCTTTTTTCGTTTAAAGTTCAATTTTGTACACTTTGGGTGATCAAAAACAAGATAAAACAAGATCGGCTCCCATACCGTAAATTTTTCAACTAAAGAGGGGAGTGGGACAAATGCTACCTTTTTTTTGCGCACCCGGACATTTGCGCACCTTTTTTTCCGCACCTTGCCCATTAGCGCACCTTTTTTCGCGTTTTAAAAAAGCTCTAAAAAGCTAATATTAACCAATTTCTATTCCAAAAGTTGTTTTTCTAGGTAATTTGAGGGTGTCGAATTCAAATTTTGACATAACAGAGCGTGTGAAACCAATTTGAAAGACAAAACGGCTAGATCAAATTACAGAAAATTGTCGATTTTTCTCTTTGTATAACTCCGTCCGTTTGTTTCCACACGCTCTGTTATGTCAAAATTTCGATTCTACGCCCTAAAATTACCTAGAAAAACAACTTTTGGAATAGAAATTGGTTAATATTAGCTTTTTAGAGCTTTTTTAAAACGCGAAAAAAGGTGCGCTAATGGGCAAGGTGCGGAAAAAAAAGGTGCGCAAATGTCCGGGTGCGCAAAAAAAAGGTCGGATTTGTCCCACTCCCCTAAAGGAAATGAAAAAAATTCTTCTCTAATGTGGCCACAAAAATGAAAATAGGTATTCAGCTGGAAACTCGATTTTAATTTTTTCTTTTTATGAAACAGAAACTTAGCAGGAAATCATTTTTATGTTTTTTTTCTGTAGTTTCAAAAGTCAGATTTTTTATCCGAACTATCTTTTTCAAATGACAAAACAATGACTAGAGGGAAATTGCCTAAATAATTTTAGGAAATTGTTATCACGAATAATTACAATTTTAAGTAGACAAAGCTTTTTGTGTTCAAGGCGACTAATTTTAAAGATAAATGTCGGAGATCAACCGTTTTCTCAAGAAACAAACGCAATTCCAAAACCGAGATCACAAGAGTATAGGGATAGGCGGCTAAGATATAGAAAAAAAAGAGGCAAAATCGTTATCTGATCAACTGAAAATCTAATTTTGCAAAGGTATGATATGTATCTGAAATCATCTAAAAGAGACGAGGTAAAGTTTTTTTTTTGAGTTTTCTGTCGATCAACTGGCAGCCACCGAGTTCGTCAGCAAAGTATTGGCTATCTAAAAATTGTAGTTAGGCATTTTGTCCTAAAGCTGATCAACAGTCAGTCAAGTCTTGACTTCTTGACTATGCACTTTGTGCTCAACTCTGTAAACACTCCCTTTCTGAGGCACTGAACTCTTCATTCTTCTCACAATCCTTGTTAAATGTTAATTTCCCATCTCAAAACCCACTTGCAATATCGTGTCCGCTCTGGAGATCTTCGCCGGTGGTTCATCTCCATCCTAATAAACTTTCAATCAATTTATTTCATTTTTTCACTCAACCTCAACCCAAGATTTCCCTTTGTATCGGAATCGTTTTATCCTTTGCTCAAAATATGGATAACATTGAAGCATCGTCGTCAACCAGGCCACGTGTAACTCTTTTGTTCTAAATATTGACCTCAAGTTTGCAAAGTACTTGATTGGTATTGGTTTTTGAATTTTGACCAACCCAGCCTCAACAACACTTGCAGTGGGATCAGTGGCGTGTACAGTTGCGATGTGTGATCGAACGGGTGCCGGGACGAAAGAGGCAAAGCCACAGACTGAACATGTGTGAGGCTGAAAAGTCATCTAGTTATAACTTGCAGTTACTTTTCCCCAAGCTACCGTAATCTTCTATCTGTCTGTCTGTCTGTCTGTCTAGTTATCGCTTTAGTCATTTTGAGATTTCATAAGATTTCATCTATTTTCTTTGTCTTTCAAGTCACCTTTGTCGTGCAATGTGTCTTCGCATGAAGTAACAATGTGTGAAGAGCATTATTAGGAAAATCGATCATTTTGCTGCAAATCTGAAAAGAGAAATCTCACGTTATTCTTCTAGATTTTCATTACTTTGCATTGAACTTTATCCTTTTGGATAGGTCCCTCATTGCGATGATCTTTCTTCGAGATAGCTTTCAATTGATCAAAGAGTTTCTCCTCTTCTTCATCAGCACCTACAATTTTCAAATTAGGAAATCTGACTGTTTATAATATTTAAAAGCTAGCAATCTTTCAAACTAACCGGGCAATGAGGGGAAATATTTTCTCTTATACAATCCCCATCGTGTATCGGGTGGAAGTGGTTGTGGATAGGTGCCAGCCGCCTCTTCGGCGTGTCTCACAATGATGTGTAACCGAACTTTCCACTAGAGTTTAATATTTTACACTAATATATTGCTATCTTAAGCAAAGCCTAAAAGAATTAAGCTTATTTCTGCGAACAGCCCTTTTCCCCACTCACCTCATCCGCGTTCTCGTATCCGCAACTCTTGCAACAAAACGGATGGCACTCCTCATGATGTCTAAATGATTACTGTAGCTATGATCTTCATTAGACTTTTAGTTTTATCTTATTTCAAACCTTGCTTGTATATGTGCCTCAAGGTGTTTCTCTTTGACCGCTTCTCCGCATTCGATACACGTTTGCGTTGTTCCTTCACTGCGCACTCCTTTCAGCGTCTAGAAGCACCCTTTGAATAAGGAAAATCTACGGTACGGGCCAATATTATGTAGAGCTCACTATTCACCTTTGGATCAAAACCGGGAAAGCACTGTGTCATCAACATGTCCCATTGTGTTTGCATCTCCGGTGTCAAATTGTCCAACGGGGAATTTTCACCGTCTTTATGATTGTGTAACATGTGAAGGCGTACCTGAAACTTTTAGATTCTTAATAGTTTTCTGAAACTATAAATTCTTAATAGTTTTTGCTTACTTTTGCCATTTCATTGTGATTGTATTCACAATAGACACACGAGTATTGCTTTAAAAAGGCGTGTCGTCGCACATGATTTGTTAGATTTGAGAGTCTAAAAGTTGATTATACCTCAATCATAGAGACATAGAGATAAATCAAGTATGGTTTGTATTTTGAATATTTTGTCGTACTCTAGCTAAAAACAAACTATCAAGTAGCACAAGAAAGCTTTCGAAAGCTCAAGGAATCTTTCAAAATCTTTGACTCACCTTGTCGCCATGATCATATTATCGCACAAATTGCATTTAATCATCGGCGCATTTGGATTCGTTTTTGAGGTCTGAAAAGTAATCGAAATTTAAAATTTAATAAAATTATTCAAAATACTGTACTTGTATGCAAATTCTAATTTTTTCTAGTTTTCCGATACCCACCTTTGTCACGGTTCTCGGTTTAATGGGAAACGAAGCCGCAACGGAGAGCTCAGAAGCCTGAATCTTTTCTTGATTTTGATATTTTTTCTCTAGAAACCTCAGGTGATGATGATTCTTGTCGCAAAATGATCGGCACTTCCTTGACCTCATTTTCCGCTTTCACATCAATATTCTCAATCTCTTTCGGTGAAGCCAATCTCGTGGATCCGTTCGGCGAATCCTCAGTCACCTTTCCCGAAGAAACCGCGTCAATGGTGGCGTTCTGAATTTTAAGGTTAGGAAGAAATTCTATTAACAATTGATTTTCCAATTCAGTTACTTGAAATATAACATATTCAGTCTTATCAGCTGAATGTCTGAAGTCTTTCAAAAGCTTACCATTTGTATCTCTTTCATGAGCTCATCCTTGCGTCCCTGTAGGTAGGGAGAATCCCAGAGATCCTGCACAAACGAAACTTCCATGTGACCTTTCGAGGACTAAACTTTGTTCAGATAAGCTAAATACTTTTTAATGCTAAAATTAATACTATACTTGGTAATCATAAATACTACTACTGATCTGCAGAGACTGAGAGACTGTTTGAAAGGAGCTCTCACTCCCACCAATAGCTCTTTTAAACCCAAAAAGATTCTTTTACAGTATAATGTACTGTATTGGTTGTTTTTTAAAATTATCCATAAATCTAACAAACCAGCAGCGCGTAGAACTCAGCCGGATCGACATCAGTGCCCAATTTCACAATGGCAAATTGCGGTTTCCGCGCGATGGTGTCCACGTCAGCAGACATTTCTGAAAGAAAAACATTGACCAGGTTAACAGTATGAAGCAAATAAAACAAAAATGTATGTTTATCAGTTTAAAAAAGTTTACTCTAGTGCAAGATCTGAATCTCGAAATCTGGGAATTTTACGAGAGAAGGCCTCGTTTGGCCCCCACGAGAGAAGGCCCAAGAAATGGCCTCGTTTCCCTTTTTCCCATTCTCGAAAAAAAAAGAAATTGGCTGTTTAGATGACAAATGATTATTGAGAAGAACAATTATGTTAATAGCTTTAAAAAGTTCAAATATTCAGTAATCAATGGTTTTTTTAGTTGTACTTTCGGAATATTCAATAGATCATAGCGCTTTTTAGAATCAATCAAAAGAAAATAAAAAAAGATCTGCAGTCGACTGTAGTACTCGACAACTTTTCAAGTAAAGCTATGGCTTTGAAATTTTGTACCAACAAGTACAGCTGGGGCAGTACTTCAAGACTACTGTTGACTGTCAAAATGAGAAAATGAAAGAATGCTGTAACTGGAAAGAAGAGTTAAAGCTCGCATAACCAAATAGCCATAGCCAATGGTGGTGTGTTTTGTGGATGGGGTTTGTTTCTATGCTCCCCTGCTCGCGCGCACCCCTTTCTCTCTTTTTCCCCATAGAATGCCGCCCGACTGATTAATGTGCGTGCCAACTGCATCCCAACACACACTCCATTCACTATGTATAAAGTAAAAAGCTTGGATCTTACTATATCTTACTGTTTCTGCATTAATTTGTAGACTAAGTATCTAAAGAACTTTATTTATTTGATGAAGGAGTTCGTTATGCCCTGCAACTGAAGATAACTAGCCAAATCCACGCCAGATCTTTATAGATTTTTAAAGTTGAGTGAAGCAAGAACCCAAAATACAAGAGAAAACTGCTCAAAAACAAAACTACATAAAAAAAAACTAGGTACTCAGGGTGGTTTGAAGGTTTTGGAGAAAAGCTAATCCGAATTTTTAGACTGTAAAAGGCCAGTAGCTGAGCAAAAGTCGAGCAAGAGCACAAGCTATGAGGCAAGTTACATAAAAATAACCTATTATCATCAAAAAATGACACAAGTTTCAAGAGATTATGAGACTAAACCAACGGTGGTTTGCCTGGAGGCGGCTGAATAGGAAAACACGAGGAGTCGGTCGAGGAGGAGCGGGCGAGGCTCTGAGCTGAAGGAGGGGGAGAAGGGGCGGCACGGCCTGCGGGCGTTGTTGCGGGCACGAGTCGGCGCGCCGTGGAAAGAGGCAAAGAGACCGGACATGAACAGGGGAAAATGGGGAAAAGAGCCGCCACTTGGAGCCGAGAAGAGCACAAGGCAGAGGCTGAGACAACGGGCAGCGAGACGGAAGGGGAAAGGGGCGAGCGCGCGTCCTCCGCTCGGCCTCGGCACCCACTCTGACGCAGTCCCTTGTTTTCCCAAAAAGCCCCACGAATTGTAATACGTATAGACATTAGCGCTGATTACTTGACCGCTTCGTGTTGAGTTTGAGACTGGGAAGTGGGAAAAGTTAATATCATCCAAGAATATGAAGATAGTCCAAATTCTTGCCGTATGCAGACACAAACTGAACTTTATCCAGTTAGTTTTATCCATCTGAAAAGCTAGTGAAGCCAAAGACTGGAAAAGACAGACAGACATACAGTCATACTGTATCTTGAATAACTTTATCCAAATAAGTATCTAGTAAAAGAGTCTAATCTACGACAGCCAGATGAATCATACTGTATATCTCTTGAATAACTTTATCTAGTACTTGTAAATATATCTTTACTTTTATAGATTTTAATCTATTCAACGTAAAACAAGCATTTCAGGGTCAAAATTTGAGTCAAGCCTAAGATTAGCATATACAGTTCGACTTAATCTTAATCAACTTTTGTTTTTATTGATAAAAATTGTTCGCTTTTGTCTAATTAATCTTACAATCAGTAAAGATTTGCGAAAGCTTACCAGAAAAACGTGTTTCTATTCAAAAATAGTCAAATTTTTCATTTTTCATTCATTTTCATTTTTCAAAGCGTGAATTTTTCAGTATTTCATCAAAAACGAAAATAAAGTTAGCAACTCGCCAAGATGCCGTTTTTCTTTACAAATTGCTATTTTTGAGTACCAGAAATTTTAAACTCAACAGGCCTAAAAACATTCAGACTTTGAGCGACAGCAAGTAGATCAGTAATCATCTAGAGCGGCCAAGAGAGAGCGACCAAGTGACAGCAAGTAGATCAGTAATCATCTAGATACTTGAATATAAAGCTAACCACTGTGAAATATAAGCCGATCCAGCGCACCACCTCCGAAAAGAGTAAAAAAATGAGCTATGGCGCGCTCTCGTGCCTGCCCCTCGCTTCAGTCTCTGTAGATCCACCGAATCCCCAGTCTATAACCACCCTTTCCCTGCAGCTCCCCCTCTATGCACGCAGCTTCATCGTTGGTGTCCTCTGCCTTTCTGGGCGCTTTTTTTTCGCAGATCCATCGGCACGCGACTCGCCCGCTTTCCTTTTCCCGTCTTTCCCCATCCTCTATGTAACTGAGGGCAGTGCGTGTCAGAATAGGGAAAAAGGGGGAAAAGGAGGGGCAGTGTGCAAAACACCCACACCCAAAACGAGGGATTGGGGAGAGCAGGGGCAAGGAGAGCGCGTGCCCATCCCCCTCGGGTGCCCAGCCTCTTCTCCACCGCCTTCGTGCCCGCCATTCGAGCGTGACGAGCATTCCCGGGGATTCTCCTGAATATATTGAACATGTAAGAGGTGGTTAGCACCTAAGGAGATTGAAATTTTAGGCTCTGGTTTACTGATAAGTATGATGGGCTATTGTTTGGGAGTCTTGTTGTACAAAGTTCAATTATAAGTTTAAAATCAGAATAGCAAAGGATACAAAGGCTGAAATAGCTAAAAATCTAGGTATAGACCTGGCAAGGCTTTAGGAGATCCGACTAATCTGCAGTACCGAGTCTGGTACGGTAAATCCAGAGCCCGGTACAGTAGTCAGATTGTCTTGCCACCGGCTAACTATAAGTTGACTTGGCTTGGTTTATCTTTACAGAGAAAGAAAATTCAGAAAGTTTTCGAAAAAGAAATTCTGATGGATCACTAGATGGTTGCCAAGAAACTGTTTGAGAAGAGGAGAGCATGCCAATCTCGTGCTTGGCGCAAATTCCCCGGTTTACTTGCTTTTGGGTTCCCATGGAGCTGCGGGAGTCATTCCAATATACGCGAATACCTGAACACACATTGCACATGCACGAGAAGGGGAAAGGGCCGCTTCGATCGGACTGAAGGGGGCAAGGAGTCGAGGGGTGGCCAGGGCTTGCCCAGGGCCTCGCGCGCCCTCATAGGTCCCCTTTCCCTCAAAAAAAGAAAGACAACCTTTTCTTCCATTTCCCTCCCTTTTTTTCTTCTTCTTTCCCTTTTTCTCTTCCACTTATCCTTTCCGTTTCACACTTTTGCACGCTGGTTGCCAGGGAAGAGCGCAGTCGAGATACACACCCAGATTACCACTCATTCCCCCCCGTTTTCCTGTGCCTCACTCAATTTCTCATCTAGCGTCGTAATCCCATAACATCCGGTGCTTTAGAAATTGCAACTACCTGTTAGAAATTTCATAGAAAATCTGGGAACTGATACACAATTGTTGAAGCTGCAAAACTACAAGAAAAGTTGCACAACAAATATAACTAGCAGGTTCAACATGAACTTGTTAAGTTGCTAAATGTTGATAAATCTTTGAATTTTTAATTGTATTCTTTTCTTGACAACAAAGACCCAATTAGACCATTTGATAGCCTAATTTCCTGTCCAATAAACCAATAAAGATCAGAGTCATCTCTGACCTGACTTCTGGCTAACCTTCTGGCCGTTTTTGAAAAGCTCTAACTCTAACGAACTACCTAAATTAACTGTAATTAGCAACAGTTCAACAGTAAAACAAATATCAAATTGTAAGCAAGTTAAATTTACATTTCAGTCAAATCTTTATTTTGTTTTTATGGTGCCGAAGTTTTTATAACCAAGTAAAACATTTATTCACACACCATTTCCCTCCTCATAAAGCATCGAGATCTAAATCTTTGGCTCTTCTCAGAAATTCGGGTCTTTTCATTGTGAAAAGCTATCATATGCAAAACCCAAAGCCAATTCGATTCTCTTGGAACCCCCGGGTGCAAATAGCAAACTCAATTTTAACATTAAATCTTATTTGGGAATCATTTACAGAACAAAAGAAAAATCATTGTGTAAAGTGACTGGCGAGGTGTTCTTTGTGCAGCCGCGTAATCGCTCTTCATCTGGCAAACGGGCTGGGTATAGAGTGCTTCTTTTTTTTAGAATCTGTAGAGAGGAAGAAGCGGTCGGCGACTGAGTCGGTTTCACGGCGTCACTATGCCCAAATCTTTGGGATTAATTTTTCTTAATTTTTGCTGTATTCTTGATACAAATTCGACATCTCGTTAGACCAAAACTAGCCGAGACACTCAAGATTCAAACTGAACTGAAAAAGATGCAATAGCTTACAAGGAGATACCACAAAATGGACGTAGCAGATTTTGACGCTGTTGATGCAGACGAGATGCAAACGCCTATCGGACACGGGGAATCCGTTTAGGTGTTTACTCGGGAAATCGTGCTGCGGCCTTATAAAGGCTCTTTTCCGACCCACGAAGTTTTGCCAAATGGCGTAGTGGTAAGTGTGCGCTTACCCGATCTTCTTTTCGCTTTTTGGCTGCAGGTTCGGATCCACTCCGGGAAAAAACTTTTGTTTTCTTTTGCCAAATTAGCGAAAATCATTTTATAGTTCCTAAAGTGCGTACTATCACTAATGTTTATGTCTTTCTATTTACTACATGCTACTTTTTAAAATTATTCTTCGTGTATGTTTCAAATAATATTTTCTCTATTTCCTCTCTATTCTTCAGGTCTTCCCCAGTTCGCACATTTCCTTTCGAAATCCCGATTCAAGTTTGTTTTGATGTAGGTCTTGCAGATTGCGATGAACCTCATTGTAAGGAAATTGCATTTATTAAATGTGCTAAAGAACACAATGGAATGATTCCCAAATGAGATTTAATGTTAAATGTTAAAATTGAATTTGCAATCTGCATCCGGGGTTCCAAGAGAATCGAAATGGCTTTGCATATGATAGCTTTTCACAATGAAAAGACCAGAATTTCCCCAGAAGAATCGAATATTTCTGCTACTTATCTCTTTTCAAAACCCACATTTTTTCGTATCCATCTTATAATGAAACATGAGTCCGATGAGATCGACGATTCCCGTCAAGAATTCCCTTTCATCTTTCGTCGCCGAGGTGACTTTTTGAAGATGTGAGATTAGCTTGAAAGGCTTGGGCTTATTAAAGGGATACTGTACAAGGTTGTTTTAAAAGAGAATTGTTCCGGAACAGACAAAGCCAGCCAGGTCAGGTTAAAGCTGAGAACCAGGTAAGGGCTAACTATAAAGCAAGACCAGAGCCAGGTAAGGAAAACCAGGGCAAGGCCAGGTCTGGCTTTTGATCTTTTGGCTTAAAGGCTGCAGGTCTAATTCCTGGGCTGTCAGAAGGTTTGAATCCTGGCGCAGCTCTGGCCTGGCCCTAGAACCCGGCTAGGAAGAACTCTGGTGTACTGGGGTACTGGCAGGTAACAAGCTAATCGTAAGCACTGGCTGGCTTCTGAACCTGACCTGGCCTCTTGACTTGGACTGGCACAATATAAATCAAACCCAAAAAGTTTTCCCCAACCTTTCCCGTCGCATGATTCCTCGGCATTTCAAAGGTGAGCGTTCGAGCGATTCGCTGAGCGATCAGCCATCGATCCGAATCGGATTTCGTTTGATAATAGGGAGCCTGAATGGCATTGAATTGATTTGTTGTATTATTCAAAATTTGATTCCTGTAAGCCTCTAATCAACATGTCTAGACCTACTCTCATTTGAGCGACAACGTCATCCAAATCCTTCAAATCGCTTTCCTCCAACAGTTCATCTTCGAATAAAAGAATTCTGTTTTTCAAAAATTCATTTTAATCGATGAAACGATTTACCTGACCGTTCTCACCAAAAGCAACGGCCAACACGGGCCGACTTTATCAACTGAAGTCGTGAACTTTTTTGGGTTTCTGAAAAGCGAGTTGATAAGGGCTAAATGGTGTCTTTCAAGTTCTAGACCTGCTTTCTGACGGACCCAAAGTCAAGCAAGTAAAGCAATGCAAGCTAGGGCTGGGCCTGGCCCGGAAAGTTTCTTTAGAACAACCACTCGTACTTTATAAGTTCTATTATTTGCTATTCTAAGTCTAATCTTGCATAAGATATTAGAAACTGTTTTCTAAAAACTAAAAAGTTTGGAGGAGAGCCAATCCTACTGTAACGAAGTGACGAGTGCTGAGCTGAAATCGAATGGAGCGCTCTCTGGGGGCCGCGAGCCGAGATCAGAATCGATACAAATCTAGGAAAAACTTATTAGCAAACCAAATGAAATCTAATCTAAAATCTAGCCTGATGATACAATATTGACAAAAGTGAATTTCCTATCCTCATCTCCTTACCCCTTCCAATGTTTTCACTGGTGTCGCCTCATTCTCACTAACAGTCAGATATTCAGCAAAGACATCGTTTAACAATTCGAAGATTGCCACTAAAAGGTTGAATTTTAATTTTTGATTGAATTACTTTCACCTGTTCGATTTTCGCGTTGTATTTCCCCGGATGAAAATCGAAAGCACAAAAGGAAAAGAGTGATTTGAAGAAGCATTGCCTTAAAAAGCACAAATCAATTCTCTTACAGTTTTAGGAAAAAGTATCTAATCAAGACTAAATTCTTTGCTTTAACTGTTTCAACTAAAGAATTCGAAAACAAGCTTCATTTCAAAATAGTTAGATTAGAAATGATAATCAAAAACAAGCTAAAATGAAAAGTTTCCACAAAAGTGATGAAGAAATGGATAAGTGATTGGGTGTTGATGATTGTGATAAAGAGTTCAGCTTCTCCTTTCCCTTTTTGCCTCTTTATAACCTCGAGCTTGATAGTTGAAAGTGAGAGGTGACAAAAAAAAGCGAAAAAGGGAAGAATTTGTCATCCAACAGCGTCAACTCATCCACACCCATATAAACGAATGATTGGATAAACCTTTTCAGACAAATATTTGATCACTGATAGATGATAAAAGAATGAATATTTGAGAAAGGAAAATTGACTCTGCTACGTTAAATACCCATATTTAAAGTTGATAAACTTGACCTGATTAAATTACACTGAAATTCAAGGCTTACTCATCGTGACTAGTTGTAATATCAAGCATTGTTTTTCAACTAGTTTTTGGGTAGTTAGTTGAATCGCCACTCCCTGTTAATTAAAGTTTTGAATGGATCCAAAGTATCGATGCATGTTTTGCCCTTTAGAGTTTCTATAGGGTTACAGTTCAGGTTTCGGGAAACGGTGGTGAAGATTCAAGCATCAAGCGTAGAATCGAGATAGGGTTGTTTATGGTCACCAAACCTGGATCCAAAATTGTCAATTTTGTATGCATTTTTTCTATTTCCAAAATATATTGGTCGGAATTGAAAATGTATTATTCCTTTCATGGACCACCAAACAGTAATCATCACCTTTTTTTGATGAATCTATGGCTTTGCAGTGCGCTCGGGCTTTTCATCTTTGCCGAGCCATTCGGATCTTCTTTTTCTGTTGTCGTATAGGATTCATTTTTCGTCACACGTGACAATCCGATTCAGAAATGGATCTTTTTCAGAATCTCAAACGAATCTGGACGTAGTTTCGTGTCGTACAGTTTTGTCTCAGTTTCGTGTCGCACAGTTTATCAATGCGAGCATTCCAAACTCAATAATACTGGAAATCTTGGCATTGGAATCGATTCTGATCATATTTATTGACTCGGAAAGGTAAAGGATCCACTTTGGGTGTTTAAAGGACCGGATTCTGAGATAAAGCTTTCTTTCCTATCAAAGATCCTATCAAAGTAGTCATATTTCATCTCATTTAGCCAAGAAGAATTATTGTAGCTAATCCATAATGTATTTTGCATTCTTCTGACAAAAATCTTTATATTAGCACCGTGATAAAGCAAAAAAAAGCGTAAAAATGACTAAAGCACACATCCGTAAAAGTTGAATACACAAAAAGGAAAATCTCTGGAGTAAAAAACGCGTAGGCATAATGCGTAGAAATCTCAACAAGATTTACAATATGGCAAAAACGGATCATGGAAAAGATCACTGAAAAATTTTTCGGCTTTCCTGAAATTTCGCTTTCGACAATTTGCGTTCTTCGTCGTGCTTTTTCCTTTCCTCTTGTTCTTGTCGAATCTCCTCTTCGAACGCCGATTTCTTCGTCAATTCAGCGATCTGAAATTAGGAGCTTTTTTCTATTTCTTCTCTATAGCTTTTTCTATTTTTTTTTCATCTTCTATTCTGCTTGATCTTTACCCAATAAGCAATCTTTATACCAGTTGTAATTAGTTCAACCAACTCAACCATTTCAACTATTTCAACCAACTCAACCATTTCAACTATTTCAACCAACTCAACCATTTCAACCAACTCAACCAACTCAACCAACTCAACCATTTCAACCATTTCAACCAACTCAACCAACTCAACCAACTCAACCAACTCAACCCTTTCAACCAACTCAACCATTTCAACCATTTCAACCATTTCAACCATTTCAACCAACTCAACTAACTCAACCAACTCAACCAACTCAACCCTTTCAACCAACTCAACCATTTCAACCATTTCAACCATTTTAACTACTTCCCCACCAACCTTTGCCTCAAAGAAATTCGCTGCGTTATTCACTCCTTCTTTCGTCACGTCAATCGAATCAGCTAGTTTTTGAAAAACCTAAATACTTTTTAAAATGAAAAATTCTTCGAACAAACCTCCGAACTTGTACCCAGCTCGCCGGTGGCGGCCAACTTGAAAATGAGGAAGAATTCCCGGAGTGAAATCTTCCCGTCTTCATCTTCGTCTACCTGAATTGCTTTTATTGATCATTCTGAACCATTGTTACCATATTCCTAATATCCTATCATCCTCCCACCTTCTTTATAATCCCCTTAAGTGTAATATGTGTTTGTGCTTCGCCAAGCGCCTCCATCATCCTCTTCAACTCCATGAAATCGATGAAATTATCCTTGTCCTCGTCGAATCTGAAAAGCAGATACGGAAGATAAAATAAAAGATAAAAGATAAAAGCAGATACGGACTATAAATAGTTTTTTATCTATAAAACTATTAGGTTGGAAAGAAAGTTCTCGGAAAAAGTTTGACTGGAATTTCTTAAAAACGAATGCACCAATTCAAGAACATTTTGCTCTATTATTTACAAGATGACTCTAAGAAATTACTCGTAAAAAAAATGAGTGCAGCTTTTCGTTAAAATTTTAGAGATTTTTGATAAATGATTATTTTCCAGTTTAAATTCAGATCACTTTTTGCAGCAGAAAAACGATTCCTTATGAGATAAAGCTAGTATAAATGAGCAATACGCTCTATACGCTCTATAATCTCCGCTCAATACGCTCTATAATCTCCATTTTTGGCCAACAAATTTTTTACAAAGAAGCTGTATTTGAAAAAATAATTTTTTTGTGTCATCCTCTTGGCACTGAGTGTTTGCTAAAATAATGTTCATTCTGAAAATTTAAAGCATTAGATTCAATTTGCCTTAATCATACATTTTCCCTATTTTAAGTACTTGATTTTAGGTTTTGAATGGGACCCATTGCCTATTCATTAACCCATTAAAAACTTGTCGAAAAGGCTGGCCATTCAAAAAGTGACCAAGTCACTTCAGCTGAAGAAATCTCTTATTTTTTTTACCTGAAGCCTACTCTGATTTTTTTTGTCAATAAGTTTTTGAAATATAGTCAAGTTTATGAGAAAATTTGGGAAGAATTGATGGCTTGTTTTTTAAGAAATCACCGTGCAAACCTTTTCTACGAACTTTCTTGCCAACCTAATATTTATAGCTTCAAAGAATTATTCGATCTTTTATTTAACTAACTAGAAGGTAAGCTTATAAAGTGAATTGTACTCAAATTTCTCACAGATATGCTAAGCCAGCTCTTATCAGTAAGCCTATACCTGAATGTACTACAGTAAACCTATAAATCTATCATACTGTAAGATTCCTACAGTAAGTTCCTTAGCTACAGTACTACAGTAATCCAGAAAGTACAATGGAAACTAAATACCTGCAAGATCGCTAGTTAAAATAAAAGATAGTCAATGTGTCTAAATGTTGTTATCCGAAGTACTGTAGGGACTTTACAATACTCTTTACAGTACCTAGCAAAAGATGCACTCAAAGGAAGTGTGCTTAAAAGTTAGAAGAATTATTTCACAGCTGCTTATCAAAACCCAATTTCCAACTCACTTCTTGAACATTTCCTGAAAATGTTTGATCTGTTTTCGAGAGAATTGCGGGAACTCGGCATAAATCGAGAGTTTCGTGTTCACCCGTGGCTCCACATGTTCGCCTGGAAAATTCTAATAAAGTTTATCACCTTTAAACTATATTTACCGTATTTCTTCGAATAGAAGACCGGGTAAAGAGTATGATCGCGTACTCCTGCATAGCAGCCCTTTTTAAAATTTCTTTTCTGCATAAAAGCTTTCAATCAAGTGCTATAGAGCTGGAAAATGACTCAAAAATCTGTTAGCTCATGTGGTATTTTTGAGTCATTTTCCAGCCCTATAGCACTTGATCGAAAGCTTTTATGCAGAAAAGAAATTTTAAAAAGGGCTGCTATGCAGGAGTACGCGATCATACTCTTTACCCGGTCTTCTATTCGAAGAAATACGGTAATTTCTTAACTTATCTTCGAGTTAAACCTACTTTGAATAAAAGCCACCTTATCAGAATCCATTAGAATTGAGAAATAGTTTCTGTTTTCAAAATTTCCCTTGTCTTTTCAGATTTTTCCAAATGATAATGGGATGAGACATTGGTTTTTCCATATTTTCTTCAAAAAATGAGAGCTGAGTCATCATTAAGATGAGCGATTCACTATGAAAACAAAAAAAATGATTGTATTTTTGGATTTTTGGACAGTTTCAGTCATTAAATAACCCTTTTTAATTTGTTTTTTTAAAAAGTCTTAACTTTCTTATATCTTTATCCAACCTATTAACTTTTTTTCTGATTCTGTGAAGGTTCACAAAGGAAAGAAAGAGATAAAAAGTACGCAGATTGGATAGAAAATAGCAAAGATTGGGGTAGTTTTGACTGACTACAATTTCTGCCTTTACTAGATTAAAAACCCATTCCTTTTTTGATATCACTCACCAATAACAACGAATTTTTGATTGCTAACAAGAGCCATGTTTTTGCTTAACAAAAAGCCGTTTTCCTTTAGAAATCCCTTTTAATGAATAGAGAAATTGTTTGCGGAAAAGAAAATTGATGGGAAAACGGCTACAATTGCTTCCTAAATATAAATATTTGTAAAAAAGAAAAAAAAAGAATAAAAAGAAAAAGATTTGACAAGAAAAAGCATTGAACTTTTGGCACTTTCAATTTTAAGCAAGTGTTAGCAAGCAAATTTTAAGCAAAGAAAATAAGAGAGTGTTTTTTTTATATGAAAGATCGAGAAAAACTAGTTCAGAATACTGTAAAACAATGATCTTCTTTTTAATAAAAAGCTAGTACAAAAGAAAAACATTTGGAGAATCTTCTTTTCACAATGTTTTCTTGATTTATTTAGAGAAAAAGAGTCGTAAAGTGAAAATAATGAGGAAGGGTCAAATGGAAAAGACGGGAAATTTGAATGAGAAAGGGGAAAAGAGGGGAAAATTGGTGGGAAATGAAAGGACAGGATTTCAAAATGGGCTAACTATGAGACTGACAAAACAATATTGGGAATAGTAAAGCAACAAAGATCAAGATCGGTTAAGTTTTCAAATTCTATAGCTCTCAGCGATTTGTTTATTTATAGTTTTGGTGGAAAGAGGATGAGTCATTCTTTGGAGAAATCTTGAAATCAAGACATTTTGAAGGATCAAAAGAGAAAACACTTACTCATTTCAGTTTCCACTAATTGATGATTGGGAAAATGTCGTGAAATGTATCAACAAGGTTATCTACTTTATTGATTCTTTCAGTTTGATTCCAATTTGACAACGAGTCGATTCTTTTAATGAAAGCTAGCGGCAAGACTACGGTAGTCTTCAAAAATTGACACGTTTTAAGAAAATAGATTAGTCGATAAGGACTGGTATAGAACGGAGAACGGAAAATGGGGGTGGGACAAATGCGACCTTTTTTTTGCGCACCTGGACATTTGCGCACCTTTTTTTTTGCTGGAAAAGGCCTTAGGAAAGGTCGTAGAGCTTCAAAAATGTTTTCATAGAAGGGAATCGTATGCGTAGATTCCGAATTTCGACAAATCAGACCTCGCTGACACGTCAAATTTGGGCTAAAAGGCAAAAACTGCGGAAAAGCGTTAAGTTGCGTAGTTTTTGCCTTTTTGACCCAAATTTGACGTGTCAGCGAGGTCTGATTTGTCGAAATTCGGAATCTACGCATACGATTCCCTTCTATGAATACATTTTTGAAGCTCTACGGCCTTGCCTAAGGCCTTTTCCAGCAAAAAAAGGTGCGCAAATGTCCAGGTGCGCAAAAAAAGGTAGCATTTGTCCCACCCCCCCGGAAAAGTAAAGTACGAGACTCTAGATCAGATTTGATTTAAAAACAGTTCCTAATTTTTATCTTAAACTCTAGACCTAAAGATTAAAGTTAAAGCACCGACTAGACGATCGACAAATGAAGAATTAAATGATCGAATGGCAATTGGTGTGAAAAGGAGTAAAAGCTAGTTTTGTGGCGGGGAATTTAAGTGAGAGTTACGAGCCGGGATTTAACGGTTAGCAAAAAGAGTTCTAGGAGAAGAAAACGGGAGAAATATTTCAGAAGGGAAAAGAAAGAGAGAGAGAGAGGAGAGGTGCTCGCATTTCGGGGATGAATGACTAAGCGGATTGGTGGGGTGGGGAGAGGGAATAGAAGATGGGTGTTACCCACTGACACTCCATGCTATGATATTAGCTTTTCAACTAAATAACCACACTTTTTCGCTAAAAATTCGTTTTACAAATGCACTAAATGAAGTACGGTTTGCACGATTGGAAAGATCTAGATTTCCTCTATCTAGAAATGGTTGTTGGCAATTTAGAAAAGCTTTCGTTTTTTGAGTTTTTCGGGAGCAAAGGCTCCCTACTCGCCGTAGGGAAAATTGACGAGAATCGACGATTGCAACTCTTTTTTGATAGGAATTGACACTAACTTTCTATGCCAAAGAAAGATTATGATATGTTGCCTCTATTTTTGACCAAACTGAGACTAAGAATCTAAATGTTACAAAAATTTCTTTCCCACTTTGATCCCACTATTTCAAATCCCAATCCTATGAGTAAAAATGTCTGAAAAAATAAGGAACAAAGATTGATTGATGATCAAAATGAGCCATGAACCTTTCCTTAAATTCTTTGATTTACAAGTGAATGTAACTTTGTGAATCGAGGAAAGATGAATGGAGATGAAAGGGGAAAATGGCTTTAAATAACCGAAACCTTCGTTCATTCACCCAGAAAATATTAAGTTGATTAGTATGACCTTGCACTTCATTGCTTTTCAATTTCCTAAGCAATCAAATCATAACTTTTTTTTTGCAATTTTTGGACAATAATAACTGAATATTTTTCCTTTATTTGCCAAAGTTTCATCCCGATCTGATGCTTCGTTTTTGAGAAACAGTTGCTCAAGCAAAGTTAATCATTTTTCTGACCCATGCCAAAACTTACTGATGTCTATCGAAAGTTTTAATAGCTGTTACCGTAACCCAAGTAGCTTCTAGTCGTAAGCTTATTATAAAATAAACTAACTTGGAAATATCTATAAGAAAATTTTGTGAAGATTAAATCATGGATATCTAGGGCTACGGTAAAATGGGGAAACGCTTAGGACTCACAAAGTTCCAAGTAGAGTGTGTTCCTTCCGAGTACATAATTATTCAAATAAAATTTGCATGAGTTTACTCGATTTACTCGATTAATCGACGTTTTTCGCCGAGTAACTACGAGTAATCCTCTTTACACGCCAAGTAAATTGAATATCTTTACATTTGAAGAGAATTTGCCACCAAATCAGTTAATCAGCTGAATATCTTTAAAAAGAGTCGTATATAAGTCGTTGCTCGTGATTTTTTTGCGCCAATTTCTTGCAATAATTTTCGCCAAAAGTACGGTAATTTTTCCTAAGTGTGCGTTTTAAAAAACGTATTACTCGCGAGGAACACAGTCTAGTTTAAAGCTTAAAGCGTCTAGAAAAGGTAGGCTAGCAAGGCTTCCCACCAAATCAGTTAATCAGCTGAATATCTTTAAAAAGAGTCGTATATAAGTCGTTGCTCGTGATTTTTTTGCGCCAATTTTTTGCAATAATTTTCGCCAAGTGTGCGTTTTAAAAAACGTATTACTCGCGAGGAACACACTCTAATCAAAACCGTGTTGGTTGGAAATTTAATTAAACAATAATTTGAAAGTAGAATGATCATCTTTTATGAAAAAAAACAAAATTAGCTTGATACAACGTTTTAGCCTCGATTTCTTGTTCCAGCAAAATGCTTAGAAAATAGAAAAGCAATGAAGTGCAGAGTCATACTTAACAATTTAGTAGCACATATCTAGCTTCAATTAAATAAGGAAAAAGTAAGAAAAAGTTTACTGTTCGTGAATTTCTATAAGTTTTGATATTGTTTAGATAACATAAAACAAGTTTTGGGATAGGGTTCAGTAGCATTTTGATTCGAATTTTCAAAAAGAATGAAAGACATCAAGAAAACATCGATCAGATGGAAGCCTCATCAAAAAGGATGGTGGGAAAGGAAAGAGGAAAACAGAGAGAACTCTTGGCAGTCCATCGCTTTTCCTCTCATTCACTTCTTCCATTTCTTCATCGATGGTCGCTAGATTCTTGCCGTCAATTCCCACACCGAGAGTAGAGAAAAAAAAGAAAGGAAAAACAGGAGAGAAGTGAAATGATTGATGAACTTTCTTTAGACACATCGAGTATCAGAAATGTTTAAATCAGGATAAATCTAAGGTTACTAAATGGTTCTGGGTTGGATAACTATTATCGTTTGAGTCAAATAGTCAAGTAATCACTATTTTCAATTTTAATAGTGCTTTGTTTTACGATTGTGAGACATTTTATACATGCCTCATCTTTGCCATTGGCAATCCAACTTTAAGCTCAAATTTCTTAGTATTTGGCTGTTCAATTGAAATATTCTTGGTATCATTAGATGCGCAAAGTCTTTCTCTGTCGATTGGCTCAAAAACTATTCAAATTGGACCGCCCAACACCAAGATATTTGAGCTTAAAGTTAGATTTTTAATAGCAATGGCAATTAGAATTTTTGAATCAATTAGGAGATTTGTCGACTCAAATCAAGAATTCAAGAGTCAAAATGATATGTGCTATTTTTAAATTTCTCAGAAACAGTCAATATTTCAAGAGAGATATGCATGAGATATTTGGGAAGAGAAAAGGGGAGTCAATCATCCAATCAACTCCTCATCTTTCCCCTTTCCCTATACCCATTGAATTCTCTTGGGATGCAAAATCGTGGATTGGAGCACTCGATCGAATCCAAGGTCACTCGATCACTCTATCAAAGAAACGAGGTTGCGCAATGATTGGGGAAATTTGCTTAAAAGAAGTAGATTTTAGAAAGAATCTCTTCATCAAAAGGTTCATCAAAAAGCTTTTTGATAGTTTTATGTAGAAATGACCAAAGTATTAACATAGATTATTAGATAATATAATATTAGATTAACATTAGATTAGAATTATCAACTTCAATTAACACTTTAGATCTCTAACAGATAAACTAGAATTTGAAAACTGTTAACTCTTTCACTCACTGACCCTCCAAAATCTTGTTCCTCCTCTCGAGCATCTCGGCGAGTTCTTTCTCCGGATCAACTGCTGGCTTTGGGGGTGGCTGAAAGAGTTTAAAAAAATGATACAGATACTACGGTAATGTTAGCATAAGATAGATTATCTTTCCCCCACTTTCACTGGCGGACTCATTGGTGGTGTGGGTGTATGGCTGATCGTCGGCGAAAGGGGCAAACCGAGTGGAGAGAGACATTTTTGAGGAATAATTGGAGACATTGGACCCTGGGATTTACAATTAAAATCATATATCTAATATAATTCTCTAATCTATTTGATATTTAAATGATTAAATGATTTTTAAATTTACCTGCGGTGAATTGGGACATTTTGGAGGTGGTGGCGGTGCCATGGTGCGCGGAGGCTGCAATTGATTTTTAAGATATTTTGATTTACATTTTAAATCTTAAATTTGCATATTAAAGCCACATAAAGCCTTTTATTTGGCTTATATTTTGCATAAAATCTACCGTATCTAGAGCTCGAGACGGCTTCGGCGGAGTTTCGACGCTTGGCGGATCCGGTGGTCGGCATTGAGGTTTTGACGTCTCCGGGGCGATTTGAACTAAAATTTTTGATCAATCAAATCAATCTATTTATTATTTGAATAACTTTTAAGTTATAACTATTAGGTATAGGTTTAGTTTTAAGTTTAAAATCTTTCTCTACCCGATAGCGGCGCCACGTGTGCATAGGCGGCTGGTGGTGGCGGAATCGGACTCGATGGAGGCTCGGGTGGTACTAAAGTTAAGTCTTGAAGTTTTTAGAGCTTAAAATTATCCTCTAAGTCCTCTAGCATATGTTACGAAAGAAATTAGAATTTAATCTCCATATTCAATACCCAAATCGAACTCACAACTTTGAGCGATCAACGATGGTGGAGGTGGGAGAACGGGTGAGGGAAGAGATGGCTGAAAGCGGATAGAATAAATAAAAAGTTGACAACTTTAGAAATAGAACCATAGAAAGTATTCAATTTCACTTCTGGATAACGTTTCAGGAAATTAGAAATGATTACGATAGTAAAATGGATTTAAAATACAGTACTGGACAATGAAATATCATATTTGAAAAACGATCGTCACTTTCTCGTGTCGGTAACTCCCTTGCTCTTGAGTTTAAACTATTAGTGTTATACATTTTCTGAAAGCTCTTTTCAAGGGCTACACAATGGTAATATTAATATTTAGAAATACGGTAAAGACAAGGGAGTTACAGACGCGCGAAAGTGACGATCTTTTTTCAAATATGATATTTCATTGTCCAGTAGTGTAGATTGGAAAACATTGAATTTCAAACTAGAGCCGGATTCCAAAAGCATTGGGATGTGGGGTTGCGCTTGGGTAATTAAACCTAATTAAACCTAACCTAACCTAATGTCGAAAAATAGAGCAGTTTCCTCTAAAAACTAATAACGAATTTGAATTCCTCATCCTCGAAAACCTCTGAATGCAAAAAAAAGTATAATTTAATATTTATAAAATAAGTTTAAAATTATACTTTGACAGTGACTGGCGGAGGCGGGGGTGGTCCTCGGGGTGACGGTGGACGCTTCTCTAAACAAATTTGCATTTCAAATTTGATCCAAATTAAAACAGGAAGGCCATAATTATCTCATTACAGTAAATAAGCGCTCAAATTTCTGAATTGTAGCTAAAGATTGCAGTCTTTGACTTCCTTTAGAATACTATTCATTTCTGGTACTGTAAAGCTAGGCCGATTACAGTATTCCGAAGCTAACTGATTAGGTTCTGTTGTTCTGAAGTGAGAGAAAACCTTGATTTCAATAGCTTGACGATCTACCCACCTTCTCCATCTTTGATCAATCCACAAATCAAATCATCGATATTTGATTCTTGATTGACTTTTCCTGGATCTTCAGACTCATTTGACGAGCAGATTTGAATGGAGGCGGTGGAAGAGGAGAACTTTCTTTTGAAACACTTCTTTCTGAAGATTTTTGACGTGGAGCTGGCTGGGGTGGAAGGGGCTAGAAAGGTAGTATTGATGATGATAATGAGACAATGATTAGTGCGATATTTTGCGTATCCACTCTAGATACGGTAGCTAAAAATCACCTGTTCAACTAGATTCGGTTCCTCGTAAATCCCCTCCGGTTGATCGAATTGTGCCACTCTTGCGGAAAGATTTTTCAAACGAGCCGACAAGTTATTCCCAACTGTCACCATGTCAGTGAGTGATGATGGAGATGGGTTTTCAGTCTCTGATATCTCAGCCACTTCCTCTGACACGGTTTCTAACCCAAAGTTCTCCACAACTTCTTGACTCTCTAATTCTTCTTGTTCTTCAATTTCCTTTTCCAATTTCTCAAATGAGTCAAGCTCTCTTTTTGCGAGCTCGGCAAGGCTGATGTGCGGTGGTACGGTAGATGAAGTGTCTGATGGGATAACCGAACCAATAGACCCAGGTACGGTAGATGAAGTGTCTGATGGGATAACCGAATCAATAGACCCAGGTACGGTAGCTTCAGTATTATCAGGTACAATAGTCCCGGCATTAACTTCAGGTTCTCTTGTGTCTTGTGGAAGGACAGGAGTTGCACCATTAACTTCAGCCACAGTACCCTCTGGAGCAACAGGTTGAACAAGAGTATCTTTATCAACTTCTTCTGTGCTATCCTGTAGTTGAGGTACGGTAGCTACAGTATCTTCAGAGTTTCCCGTCTCAGGTACAGTAGCCATAATATCAGAAGAGTGTACGGTAGCGTGATTCACTTCGGGAACAGCATTTGGCGACATTGGTGGTGGTGGAGGTGGCTTGAATTCAGGTGGAGGCCGAATTACTGCAGGGATTACGGTAGGGATCGGCTGTTCAACTTCTGGGCTTGTCCTTTGTGGCTAAAAGCTTTTATTGTAAACATTTCAAGAAATAGAGTACCTCTAAAGTTGTGCTTTGCGTGACAGTTGTTTGAATGGTAGCTGTTTGCTCGACGACGTCAACCCAGGAAGGGATCTGGGAAAGGGATTTTTTGAAAGCTAACTAAATATTGTATTGTCTTGTACAAGTACGACAATTTACTATGAATCTAGCTAGTACTAGTTACTTAGAATTCCTCAAAGCCTGCAAGTGATAGCAGTTGGTAATGCTTGGTAGAGTAATGAAAAAGTGTACAATACGGTTGGGTATTTGCACTTCAAAACTTAGGCAAACAATATTTATATAAGAGAATTAATATAGTTACTTTATTCAAAAGGAACTCAAAAAAAGTATAGACATTTACAAAAGAAAAAAGAAAGTATAAAAATTAGTAAAAGTTTTTTCAAAAAAGAAAAAGATTAAAAAAAAACTAGAATTTTATGAGAATACGATAAGGTACAAGAATAGTTCACTTAGACAAGAGATACTAAATCAATTTCATTTATAGCGTTCTTAAAACGAGGGAAGGATGCCAAGATCTCGGAGTTTAAAGGTTAAAGGTGGAATTAACCTTGGAAAAACAGTAAATAGGATTCATTTTCAATTTTTTGAGACTCTATAGTAAAGTGTCGTACTTGTCTACATAAATTTGTTCCAAATATGGATCTGCTATAAACCTAACCAGTCTGTATAATACTAGAATCCATAAAGCTTACCGGTGATGGCTTCACAAGAACCACTGGTGGATGTTTCTCCAATGGTTGTTCCCCGAACTCCACCGGGGCAAATTTCGAGGTTTCTGGCTTTGGAGATGGAATTGGATCTAAAAACTTTGAACTAAAGCCGGCTGGAAAGCCGGCTTTAAACAATAAATATTTGTTGGTCCCTTTTTTGCCGTTCGCAATTTAAAGGCTTTACGTGTTTTTCTCAACAGCAACCCTTCAATTTTGTCTATCATTTGATGTAGAATAAAATTGCGCATCGAATGATACCAAAATTAACTTAAAATGTAATATCCATACAAATTTATGAGGCAAAATGCTAAGTCCCGCTCATAATGGGTAGGGTTTAAGTTTTTAGCCAACAACTTTGTGTGGATATTACATTTTGAGCTAATTTTGGTATCATTCGATGCGCAATTTTATTCTGCATCGAATGTTAGTCAAAATAATCAAAATCGAAGGGTTGGTGCTGAGAAAAATACGAAAAACCTTAAATTGTCAACGGCAAAAAAAAAGACCGACAGATGTTTATTGTCTATTTTGTATTGAACCGAAAGCGAACCTTTACTATTTTCAACTGCCGCTTCCTGTTGTTGTTTCTTTCTTCGTTGAGCGGCTAGAACTCTATAAAGAACATTGGCTTATTTCTTTTATAAAACAAACTTTTCCAATTCAGTCTCTTCAGTGTTTTGCTTCAAAAGGGTTCTCGAAGGGGAAGCGACACGATCTCTGAATTGTTACAGTTATCTAAAATACATTCACTTTAGAAAACTACCGTGCTTAACTACCAGTTTACATTCGATCTTAATTTTTGTATCATTGACTGAGCCGTGTGATTCCTCATCAAATCATACCAAAAATTGGGCTAATTAAATGTAAACTAGCCGTTTGATTACAGTACTTTTCTAAAGTCGGTGCCTTTTAGAAAACGCATTAGCAGATATAGGCGAAATCTTGATTATCAACAAATTTTCTCACTTGTGATGCTCGACGCGAAACAGTGGACGCCGATTCACCGTTGATGGGTCAACCTAAAGGGTTTAGATAGAAGAAATATAGCTATAAAATATAGATGTGCAATAAAATTGTAAAGCCGAAAATAGCTAGAAACTTTTTTTATTGGAAATTTTAAAGAACCCAAACCTCTGGGACGGTCTCTGCTTTGCAGAGATCGGCAAGGCACAACGGAGGTGGTGGTTTTCTGAAACGGTGAAACTTGGATAATTTTTAGATAATAAAAGTCTAGATAAAGATATTACTTAAATATTTAGATATTAGATTTCTAATCATTTAGCCAAACTTACTCGATTTCTTTAGCGGCTAGGGGACTCGAGAGATAAGTGGATGGAGTTGACGGTGGTACCGGCGGATGTACAGGGGATTGAGGCTGAAAAGAGAGATAAATCTAATATTATTGATATCTAGATAATCTTAATTAATCTTAATTTTCTCTAAAAACCAACCACTTGTTGCTCTTTATTCCCATTGTTGTTCATTTCGAGTTGTCCTTGGATCGCTTTGTGGATGATCTCGTCGATGTTGATGGAAGAGTCCGATGCAATATAGGGATTCGGTTGAATCTGAAAAAGAAATTTTAGATTAAATATAGTTATAATTTCCATAAATAAAAACCTTTTCTTGTGGCATTGGTGGTGCTTTTGGAGGCTCTTTAACCGGTTGTGGTTCTTCTGGCTGATCGACTAGGGCCAAGCGACGAGCCAACTTCTCGGCTAGCTCTCTTTCAGCCATTTCTGAAAGTTGTGGCTCAGATTAAGTGATGCACTTTATGCTCGAAAATGGGAACGCATCTTTTCTGGTGTAATTCTTTATACGCAATCAATCTGTTACTGTAAGAAAATTGAGCAGCAAGGTGCGTTTACACTTTGGAACACAAAGTATATTCAGTTAGCATGATTAATAAAGATCGAAGAACATAAGAAAGGAATGTTTCGAATGGAATGGAGAAAGGAAAAACGATGAGATGACCGGTGGATGTCCCTTTCTTTTGTGTCAAAAAAAAGAGGGACACGTGAACATTTTTGAGAGATCGCAAATAAATCCACCTTCACTCTTTTTCTTCTAATAACGTACAACAGGGACAGGATGATGATGTGTGTTTTTTTGCTTTGAACGAATCGTATATGGATTGCAGAACGATAGGAGTATAGACTTGCTGAAATCCTGAGGCCAAAATACAGCCAAAATTGGGGTTTCAAGGTCGCAGGCCTATTGACGGGGTTTATTTTAACCCTTTGTCCCAAGAAAAGTCCCAAGAGAATCAAATTGACTGGGTGATAGCATATGATAGCTTTTCACAATGAAAAGACCCGGATTTCCGAGAAGAATCGGAACTTTTAAAGTTGTTTAACTACTGTTTTTCAATATTCTAATTTGACTTTTGATAACTCTAGATACATTTTATAGCAGGGTTGTTCAAATCCTTTTTCTCGGGCTTACAGACATAACCCATAGACATAACCCACAAAAAGTACCATCAGAGGCTAGGCATGGGTCTGGTCTCTACCCTGGCTCTGATCTTACATGTCATGTCCTAGCTTACAGACCTTATATTTGGTTGGAACATAATATGAAAATTCATCCAATAAGTATAACAATATGCTCCACTTTTGATTGAACATCAATCTATCACAACAAATAAATCAATGAGAAAAAGATTCTAGAATTTCGAGAAGGGAAAAAAGAGGTGAGAGCTTTCACAGATCAAGCCTCTTGTCTTGGGTAGAGGGACTGTTTTTGAGGTGAAAAGGGACAGATGAGAGAAAAAAAAGGGGAAAGGAGAGCCCGGGTCCAAGAAAAAAAGCTTCGGTAAATATGCCCGGTGGATCACAAAAAGAGAATCCCAAATAACAAGCGACGATTTGGTTTGGAATTGAATTGAGCTCAAGGTCGGATCTGAAATCAGGATATGGATAACATCGGTTTTCAGGTGAATATTGGCCGGAAGCCAGTACTGCCTTAGCTTGCCACCATTCAACTCAATCAAAAGTGGTACAAATGACTACACAAAGGCTCAGGTTTACCAGTTTTGAAAACATTAAATAGATTTTGATAGCCAAATCTTTCGAAAGGATAAGCCTACAGCTTTAGCCAATTTACTTTTCTTTTTTCATAGATCAGCTGTTGCTTTGAAAGTCATGAGTCAGTCAATTGTTGAGAAATAAATTTAACCATGAGAACAACTGTTTCTTGAGCTTTTGCAAGAAATTTGATGATTCATTTACTTAAACCTGAAGTTTTTTTTGAGGAAATTGGTGATAGATTTGAATGAACTTTGGCTATGTGTAAGAGCGAGAAATTAGATGAAGTGGGGACTTGAAGTTGATTCATGTAACAAAAGCAATCTCAAGTCTAATATGGGGTTAGTGTTATAAAATGATTGTTAATGCTCATTAGATCTGTTGTCGGTCTGATTTTCAATAGGTGTACGACAGAAAAACGAGATTTGACCACTTCAACGGCTAGTTTTTCAGGATTTCTTGCTACAAAGGTAGAATTTTGGTCCAAAAACCCTGAAGAAAATAGCCATTGAAGTGCCCAAATCTCGTTTTTTATTCATATTGACAATTAAATCAAAAATAAACAGGGCTAATACTCATAGTCAGACAAATATTATATGTTCAAAGAGTTTTAGTATCGTTGTTGACCGGCTTTTCATTCAACTGACCCATCCCCTTTCCCTGTTATTTTCCAATCGGTGACAGCTGTTCGTTCAGACCCACATTTTTACAAAATCCCCTCCTTTCTTTTCTCTCATTGCTCTGAAAATTTGACTCTCCTGACTCTTTTTGATCATTTCTCTAGTCCAATAAAATCTTTTCTCAAGAAAATGAATAAGAGTCGATGATCACCAACGTCTCTTTTTACCCTCAATCTGATTGATTTCTTTCCACACACACCTGGAGTTGATGGGATTATTTTAAGGATTAACACTTGCTCAATAACTAGGAGAATATAGCCTTATGGAAAAATGGAGTAAATTTGCGTATTAGTAAAGCAAAGAATTTAGGCGAACTTGAAGAGACTCGAAAATTTAAATAAACGGCGTCAAATTGTTTGAAAAGGCCAAAATTTGCATTTAAGCGTCAAATAAAAGGCGACAACTTTGAGGGAAAAGTAACATTCATTCGACTAAACATCTCAATCCGCTGCAATGGGCGACAAATCGGCTTACATGGGCGTTGGAGGATACGATGGATTGACCGTCCACAAGAATCAAGGAGGTAACGGTGGATATGCACGGTATGTTTGTTGTTTGTTGTTTTACTTTGTTTTCTTATGAATTGGTTAGTTGTTTTTATTTCGTTTTCCTTCATTTCGTTGGTAATTTGTTATTTCAGGTTAAAGCTTTAAAGTTCATGCCTAAATTGTTACCTACTTTTAGTTTTGCAATACCAGTTTTGTAAGCATAGTTCTTAGGTTTATATTTTTGGGGTTAAAACTTACTTCTCAATTTGCGATTTATGTTTGTTTAGTGAGGAATATGCCTACCCTGCCTCCAGTGAATCTAATAAGCAAAGTGGACCCAGCTACTCTCCATATGGAGGTACTATTTTTGTTTAGATTAACTAACTTTTAGCTGACTAATGATAGAATCTGTTTGGGTCATTGATTCCCTAGTAGATTTTTAAAACTTCAAAGCTTTTATCAATTTTCTTTGATATTTGTTTCTTTTTAGCTGGCAGCCAGGGAGTGACGCGTCCTCGCAACGACGTCTCCACCTACTTGGGTCCATAACTCGTCCATCTCACTTCTCCTGCACTTTTTCGTCTTCACCGCTTCCTTGCACAAAATGAAATTCGATAGGGAGATAAAATAAATTGTGTTTATCTGGTTTCTTTGCTTTCTTTTTTCATCTACCAATTTACAAAATTTTAGGAGGCTGAGGTCAATTCATGATCTATTCTTGGCAAACGTATATTTTAACTGAAGTAGTTCATGGAAATTTTCTTGTTAATATTCGACTGAAATGACACTGCCAGACGGATTTCGCCGTGCCTTGTGCGAGAAGTATTCGAGAAAAAACTTCAAAGAACGTGTCTTTAACAATTTAATTGTCTGATTGAAAGATTTACTCGTTATTTGAAGAAGAATTTGACAAATCAGCTGTCAAACTGAACACGAATAGCGCCGATTTATGTTTGAAGTCTAAATACAAAATTTTGGATGCGGCTTTAAATTGCAGATATTTTCGCCCGCTTTTCGTCTCGTTCTACCGTAACCGGTACTCGTAACTCAAAAAGCTTCACTTTGAAAATTCCTACCTTAGCAGTCTGTGACTCCGTATTTTGGTACGACAATTAGTAAAAGTCGGACACTCGGACAGTTCTGTAAAAAGCAACTAATACTAATCATGTTTTCTGTAAGAATAACTTTTTACGATAAAGGGTTGAACCGGCTGAATTGTTCGACTGTCCGACTTTTACCAGTTGCCTTTTGGTACTAATAAACATCAGGGGAGTCACTTTGACCCGACTTGGTCAAATTGTATTTTTTTTTACTTTTTTTTACCAAAGTTATTATACTCTTTCTTGGGTTACTTTTCTTACTTTTCAAAAATGCTGAATCTATTGATAATATTTTTAGAAAGTTTTGAACAATTTTTGTTGATATTTTGTTGAGTTGCCTCGAGTTTAGCGATGTTGCTAAGCTTGAAAATGAAGAGAGGGGCAAAAAACAAAGTGAAAAATTGTTCAAAATACTCTAAAAATATTGCCAATCGATTAAGCGTATTTGATGACCGCAGAAAATGCAAAGCTAGACTAGAAAAACGCGTAGAATGGGGCCTGAACAAGTCGGGTCAAAGTGGCCCCGAAGTTTGTTAGTACCCGTGTTTTATTTGGTTGAGAAATTTGCTCTAATAGGCTCTCCCATACTAATTTTTAACTTTAGAATGCTATTCGGGATACCGAAGTTGGACAAACTCGAGTTGACGACGCATCTGCTCGATGATCCCGTCGATCGGCTCAACTACAAGGGAGCCGCAACTGTGATCTTCTTTCTCGCCGCCATGGTCTCAGCCAAACAGTAAGTTTTTTGAACAATTTCTTTTTCATTGCTTGGTTTAGATTTACCGGAAAACCTATCCAATGCTGGGCCTCGGCCGAATTTCCTGGTTCATGGATTGACTATGCGCACGACTACTGCCTTGTCCAGAGCACTTACTTTGCCGCGCTGCCCGGCGAAAAAGCAAATGTTACGGCGTTTGAAGGAGACGAGCTTGTTGGAGAAAAAGAGGTTTTTATTTTAACTAGTGTGCCGTTATTAAAATCTGTTTAGCCACAACATTCCTACTATCAATGGGTGCCCGTTGTTCTCGCACTTCAAGCAATCGCGTTTCTAATTCCCAACTGGATTTGGACAGCGCTAGTCAGCTTTTTTGGTAACTCCTTCTACGGTGACTTTAGCTTTAAAAAACTTAGGTATTGAATTGAAGGGTTGCATCCAGTCAGCAGAGAAAGCCAGGTCGGCGACAGATCGGGATGAACGCTCCAAACACGTATGACTTTACTACACCAACTCTAATATGTTTTCTTTTAGATTGACAATGTCATTGCGGTTCTCGCTGAAGCCGTCGGCCTCCGGGATCGAGATCGTTACCGACAACGGGATCGCTATCACAAATTTGGAGCCGACTACCTCTCAAACGCCATTACAGCTTTGTACCTATCCACGAAAATGCTCTACGTGATCAACCTACTTGCTCAACTGTCTGTGCTTAGCACATTCCTTGGATTCAATAACATCTTTTGGGGATTAACGGTTTGTTGTTTTATTATTCGGAAAGAAATCTTCTTTTAGAATGTCTATGAAGTGTTCCTCGGAAGTGGTTGGGGAGAGACGGGCTTGTTTCCACGCGTCACTTACTGCGACTTCGGAGTGCGGGCGTTCCACGGCTGGAGACCATACACTTTGCAATGCGTTCTCATCCTCAACATGTTCAACGAGAAGATTTTCGTCTTCCTGTGGTTCCTCTTAGCTGGGCTCTTGATCATCACTAGTGTCTCAACATTCTATGCCTTCTACAGCTACTTGAAACGAGAACATAAGGAGAGAGCAGTCTTTAGGCGGGTTTTTTATTTGCGTCTTATTAGTTAACCTAATTTTTAGGTGGTTAAAGCATGCGCCTGACTTTAATGAAGCTTACATGCAGCGGTTTACTCAGGATGTGTTGAAGTCTGGTCAGTCACCTTTGCAAAACTTATTTAGCACTTGATTTAGATGGTTTGCTCGTTCTCCGCTTCATTGAATACCACGCTGGCTTGTCTGTTGCTCGTGAAGTCGCAACAAAATTGTACGGCGTATATTTATTTTATTCTAAAATTTTAATTTTAGATGGATTGAATACATCAACCCATGCGATGATAACAGCACAATAATAAGCATCCCACCAGAGAAGAACGGCGACGAGTTCAATCGAAAGAAGATTGGTAGCGACGATTCGGACCTCTCGCTGAAGGCGTGATTGGGAAAATATAACAGTATTTTTGTTGCTTTCTGTGCTATGAATTTACACTTTGTCTACCTTGTGATTTTTAAATTTGTAATTTATAATATATAGCTGAAATAAAATTTAGTCATCGAAAAAAGACTACATGCGAAAAAGAAGATCTGTAAAGGCTGTGTGTAGGAGCTACTAGTTGGGCCGAGGACAATTCGTGGGTTTCAAGGTTTGGGTTAAAAGCATTCCTCTTCAACATTTTTTGGATCCGACATCATAAAAATTCGAATCCTTTAAGATATATAGTGTTGATCTTTTATGTGAAAGAGCAAAAAGAAACAACTCTTGAGTAAACATTTGCTTTCTCTCAACTGCTTTGAGATGGTGAAGAAATGAAGTCATTGCTGAAAGAAAAGAGAAAATTTGGGAGGAAGAGAGAACTGCCAAATTTTTGTTGGGTTGAGAGGTTGAAATCGGAAAAGAGAAAGAGGAATACATACTCTCCCTTCAAATCGCAAGGGGAAAATTCCTCTGCTGGGCCCAATCGAAAACCATTTTGGAGTATTTTGGCACTTTTTTTCTCTAGTTTTAGTACACTTTATGTCGTATTTTTAATGCATAACTAAACGTTTTGATTTTGTCACACATAAGATGAATAGTTTTTAGAACATTAAAAAATGAGTTTCCCGGGAAATCTTCCGCCCGGGATGAATCTCTCGTCGATTTTATCCTCGATGGGCATTGACCCAACCCAATTGGGAAGTCTGCAGAAAATGGCCGGCAACGCGCTGGCACAAGCTCCCGGAGTGTCCACTTGGTGGAAAGGTTGGTGGATTGGCTTCTAAACCCTAAAGCTAGAGTAAAATTGAATTTTGATCCGAAAAGTTTACAAGATGGTCTTGTTAGCGACAAAATTCAGCGTCAGGATGCTTTTCAGAAATGCCCAAAGATGCACTCGCTTTCGAAATCGTCGTCTTTGTGATCGTTTTCATCATCGCTTTGATGACGATCAAAATCTGGAGGGATATCGTTTTGTATGTTGATGACGAGAGTTATCGAAATGACGTCACTCTGCTCGTCAGCGCTCCGTTGGTTCGTTTAAATTGATGGTTTTATCCCAACAAAAGTATCCAATAGCAAGCAATAACAATAAAATTTTTAGTTTATTGTCATTTTCTGCATGCTGGGCAATGTTTTCGTGCGAGCCGCCGGTTTGCTTTATGCGATTTCGTTGACGTATGTTTGAAAGATTGAAAAAACAATATTAAGAAATATTAAGAATATCCAAGACTGATTTAATATAAAGGTTTATCTAACTAATAAATCTGGGACTAACTAATATATCTAACTAATATAACTACCGTAAATATAACCTACTAATACTAACGTAACTAATATAACCAACCCGGGGCTTCAATTAAAGTATTTACGGTAAGTAATTGGTAAATTTCTAATTTAATAAATTTCTTTTTTATATCAAAAATTTTTTTTTTTTTTCAGTTACGTTGTACTGTGTCTTTATCGCCTTGTCGAGCTGCTCTACGGCGTTTTCGGTGGCACAGCCGAATTCGCGAAATGGCTCAAATTACAGTAAGCCGTTGATCTAAATGCAATCTCATTTAAATAATCTCTTTTAATCTTTAGTCCATTTAGTGAGCGAAAAATCAATTTCGGCATTCCTCCCGTTTGCTGTTTGACGTGTTTACCCAGTGCCGCACCGACAGAGTAAAGAATTTGCGAGAATGAAAATCGAAATTGAGTCACCGTTTTCAGAAAAAACTTGAATCGAATGAAATTGTTGGTGTTGCAGACGCCGATCGTGCGAATCGCCATTCAGATCGCGTTGATGATCATGTTGATCGAGGGAGTCAGCCCCAGCTCGGCGTTTGTTTCAAATACATTCATTTACACGAATAGTGTGGTAACAAACAATACAAAAACACTAAGTCCTAAATGTAGAAAAACCCATATAGATAGAAAAAAAAACGCAGAATCTAGCTGGCGGGATTGAACCCTTCACCTCCCGGCTAAGAGAAAAGGCCCTTAGCCAGTCGACCATGGTCGACCATCAGCCAGCCCGGCCCTGAAAAAAGTCCTCAAAAATGGAAACGCATCCTTTCTGGTGCACGATTCTGCAGGTTTCGCTTCGTGAAGAGTTTTCTGCGAGAAAATGAAGAGTCCCGTGTACCAGGAAGGATGCGTTTCCTTCATTTTGAGAGTCTAAAGTACACTCAAAGCCAGGACTGAATATCTATTTGAAATCTGAAAGATCACAGGATATAAAAGCAATAAATTTGTGGCCATTTGTTGCTGATAACTAATTTGTAAACGAAAAATGAAAAAAATTCCAGCGGTCCTCTCGTTTTGAATATAATCGGTGTGATCTCAACGATCACCGGCATCTACACAACGCATCTTTTATTCAGAATGACACAGGTTTTTTTTGGGGGGGGGGGGGGGGGGCCGCCGCCCCCTTTTAGGGGGCCTTTCCCCCTACCCCTTTTTTTTTTTTGTGTTTTTCCAATGTTCCCTTTTTTTTTTTTTTTTTTTTTTTTTTTTTTTTTTTTTTTTTTTTTTTTTTTTTTTAAATAATAATTTTAAAAAATTTCCCTTTTTTTTTTTTTTTTTTTTTTTTTTTTTTTTTTTTTTTTTTTTTTTTTTTTTTAAAATTTTTTTTTTTTTTTTTTTTTTTTTTTTTTTTCCCCTTTTTTTTTTTTTTTTTTTTTTTTTTTTTTTTTTTTTTTTTTTTTTTTTTTTTTTTTTTTTTTTTTTTTTTTTTTTTTTTTTTTTTTTTTTTTATTTTTTTTTTTTTTTTAAATTTTTTTTTTTTTTTTTTTTTTTTTTTTTTTTTTTTTTTTTTTTTTTTTTCCCCCCCTTTTTCCCCAAAGTATCTGAATTCTGATAGAAAAATGAAAGAAATTGACCAGTTTAACTGGTAGCTAAGAATTCTATGACGTTCTCTTGTTCTCCAGGAATTCCTCTCGGATTTCGGTATGACGGTTCTCTTCCGATCGGTCGATCTTTGTCAAGCGTTACTTACAATAATGGTAAAAGAACTCAAAGTACAAGAAATCCTTTTTCAGAAATTCATCTTTGACATTCTTGGACGTAAAAAAGCTTTCAATCCATATGGACATTTACAATCACCGGGAGTTGCAGCATGTGAGTGTTGTGAATAATGCCTTCTCAAAAAAATGGCACTTTCCGTATTGTAATCTTGAAAATCTTGAAGTACATAGAATGCGCCTTTGAAAACGAGTCAGTCCCACCTTTTACTACAAAAAGCCCATGTCTACTGAATATGTTAAGAGATTTTGAATAGCATTAAACCGACCAAGTTCAAGGGTAGCTAATCTTGCAAGCCTTTCACCCTAAGAACTAAACCTCTTGAAAGTTATCCTGTCTCTACTTTTATCTAATCTTAGATGGATCTTTTCCAATCCAATCTTTTGGTCTGATTCTGATGTGGGTTCACAAAGGATATCGAAAGTTATAGGTTGACTTAAAACTAGAGACAAGATTAGAGTAAGAAACTTTAATATATTTATCTAAGTGATCAAATTTCAAATTTTCAGTTTGGTTCAATGTGGGAATGTCGTTTGCTTGTCTCCTCCTTTGCCTTCTCCAATTTTTCTTCACTCGACCCGGGAAATGTGCCCTATTCGACTCAAAATTCATCAAAAAGACGATAGCACAGAGATATGCGTCAAAAATGGCGGACGGGGAGCAACAAGCTGCACAAAATAATCGAATACAGTCGTCGGCTATGTGAAAGTTTATGTGCATAAAGCTTTGTCTTTTTTCATGAAAACGGAAATTCATTTATTCTCGAAATATGTAAAAATACAAACACAAATTACTCGTATTCTCTAGATTTGGAGATCTTTGATCTTTGGAGAGATCTTTGAAGATTTGGAGATCTTCAACAATCCTCATATTCTTGAATCGATTCGGGTAAGTGGTTACCGTAACCGGCGCCAAGACTAAAGAGATTTCGTTTCGGCACTGGATTGAGGTGATATAATGATGATTATTATGATAGAATGTACTTAGATATGCAGGCTGATTGCTTAGATAATTATTTTAGCTTGCTCTACTTGCAAGCTTGTTCCAAAATCTGATCGTGACTCGGTAACCCGTAGCCCAGTTAGGCTTACAGTAGTTGGCAGTTAGTTATCGTAAGAAAATGCAAATATCTCTAAATTAATGGTAATTACGGTAGCTGGAGCACGCTTTAAAGCGGCTGTCCAACTTTTGAAAAAGCTTTCGCACAAATTCAAACCTCAACGGGTTGATGAGCTCCTCGAGGCGCTGCGATGGGCCCACGTATCGCTTATTCATCTGGTGAAGGCTAAAAAGTTGAAAATTATATTAGATATAAATATATTTAAAACAGTATTTGCAAGCTTTCCCCGTAAACTTACACAAGTGGATTGATGAGCTCCTCGAGGCGTTGCGATGGCCCAGCGAAACGCTTGTTCATCTCGTGAAGGCTGAAATTTCGCTATTTTATAAGAAATTTAAGCGTTAGCGTATAAAATAAATGCAAATTAAGTATATAAAGATTTTTTGGATTTACCCAAGTGGATTAATGAGCTCTTCGAGTCGCTGTGATGGCCCAGCGAATCGCTTGTCCATATTGTGAAGGCTAAAATAGAAATTTGTCTATCCGTAGAAATTTAGAGAGAACAAAGGAGGAATTAGGCTTGGAACGGAATTTTCCTATGTCTATTACGTACACAAGTGGATTGATGAGCTCTTCGAGTCGCTGTGATGGACCGGCGAATCGTTTGTCCATACTGTGGAGGCTAAAATGACGAACTGTACTGGATGTAAAGATATCATTTAGATCATTGATCATTTAGATATCAGATATCAGTTGAATGTTGGCCTTTTATAGGCTTGGAAGAGTAAATTCTTGGCTCTATTCTAGGAGATCAGTTCTAGCAGACCAGATTTGTCATAGATTTGTCTATAAGTCCGATCTAAGTCAACCTTCTGGCCAACCTTTTGACCTTCCAAGCCAACCTGACCAGGTCCGATCCTGGTTTTTGCAGGTTCAGGGAATTTTTTTCTAAATTGATGTTTTTTGGCCTGCTTTTGATGTGATCACCAAGCACTTCAAATGTCCTCTTAGCCTTACTTTACTTAACAAGATACATAATTATTATCTAACTATAGAATTTGGGTATTAATTAAACACTTACACAAATGGATTGATCAACTCCTCGAGTCGCTGTGACGGCCCAACGAATCGCTTTGTCTTTTGATGCTCACCGGTTGCCGGTTTCTGGGTGAGTGCTGGAAAATGGAAATTTTTAGGAATAAATCTAAAGCTTTCTTATGTTTAACTATAATACTCATAGTTTTTATCTAAAAATCTTTTAAGTTCTAGTTTTTCATGTCATTCTTTCAGTAACCCACCGGGCACTCGGCAACGGACGGCTCGATTCGCCTCGGCCAACTTGTCAATTGAATTCTGAAATTTTGCATAAAAATCTAAAGATTTCTACTACTTTCGAATCTATTTTTATCCTTTTCCACCTGTAGTTGAATAAGCCTTTCCCAAACGAGCGATGGGGCAATCTCATTTCTTTTCAAGAGTCCTCCCTCAACGAATGGACTTGTCGAAAGAAAAAAGAGAAAACCACCCAATAAATAAAGAGAGAAATTGGAAAGCGATGATGAAGACATTACCTGAAATGGAGAGATTCGATTAAAAGAACAAATCGTTTAATAAACAATGAAAATAAGTACGGCAGACTCATTGAGGTTTTGATTCAAAGAGATTCAAAGTTTCAAAGATTAGCAGTAGATCAAAGTTTTTGAAGATTTCATTGAATAACTTGAATCTTGGGCTTTTAAACTCCCGCTTTGGCTGGCTTTCTGCTGCTTTAACACATTCACGACGACACGGCCCACTAATAACGATTATTTTTAATGTCAACTCAAGCTTTTAAGAACTTTTGTGATTTATTTCACAGAAAACTCTTGGTAACTTTGTTCTAGTTTTCAAGAAGAGATTCAGGGCGCTCGAATGAGCTATAATAGTTCAGTTTATTGTTGAATGCTTGCCAAATTATCAGTAAAACAGTAATGGCTACGCGATTGTACCGTCAAAATACCATTGTCGTGAATGTGTTAAAGCGTGACTCGGCTACCGTAATCCGCGACACAATTAGTCAATACAGTAACTTTAGTTTGGCTAAATAATAGCCGTCACTATGTGATCGTAAAGATTAATAATCTTAGATTATCGCTAGATCAACTAGTAACAAGAATTAGAACTAAGAAACACAGATCTAGATCAACTCTATAGTATGGAGATTTAAACCAAGTTACGATAGAGTGGCTACGGTTTTGGCTACCAAGTAGTTTCTACCATAGTCGAGATTACGATAGGCTGGGACAGGCTTTAAAAGTAGCATTTAGCCAAAATTCGCAAGTTTGACATTAAACAAAATGGAAAATGAAGTTCTACAATCAATTTTCGATCAAATTTCAGAAAAAAATACAGCTAATAATTATAATTCCATCAAAAAAAAAAGCAAAACTTTTCAAGAATTCAGACAAAAATCACGATTATCGGGAAATTGTAGAGTGCTGAAAAAGAGGAAATACATTTAAAAAAAACAAGAATGCAATACAAATAAAGGATACATAATAAAACATAAAGGCCTAAAAACACAATTTTTAATGGCACTGCGGCCGTCGTTACCCCTATTATCCCTATTATCCAAATGTTATAAAAGAAAAAAAAACCACTTGGTGGGAAAAAGAAACATTTTTATCTTGCCAGCGTGATTGAACCCTCGACCTTTCGCTTAAGAGCCAAGACTCCTAACCGGTCGGCCAGCTGGACAAGACCTGGAGGTGATGAAAGAGCTAAAGTCAAAGCAAAGTTGTTGAATGGCTTCAAAAAGATTGGTTTAGATCTGAATATTGTCATATCTAATGGTTTATTTACGCAAAAAAACTTGATATTTTTAAAGTTCAACGCACTTTTTGGGCTTGTAATTCGATAAAACTTTGAGCTACAAGACAACAATCACCTTTTGACGCTAATCAAATCTCGCCCACTTGCCAATACAAGGAAATCTTTCAAAACACGCATTTTATTCGAAATTTGGTTTGATTTTTGTTATCTTTATCTAGTTTTAAATCTAGATTTATATTTGAATTCAATTTTATCCAATTTTATCATTCAAAAGGAAACCCATGAGTTGAGCTGAAATACCCAAAAATAGTTCAAAAAAAATCGCCCCCGAGAAACTCTAGAAAACTCTTTTATAAAGGGATTATCCGAAAAAATCTTATTTTTAAAAATATTTTTGTAATATCAGAGAACAGATTTATTCTATTGTTTTTGAAGAGAATGACTACAATTTAGGCTTAACTACTTCTCACACAAAGCATCACAAAATTAAGAAAGAAAATAATGCATTGATCTTATAGAGCCAAGTAAATATTGAAATGGCTGAAGTGAATTGTTAGATCGACTTACTATCGATTTACTACAATATTCGGGATTCAGTTTTGGATGATGCATAATTTTTCAGTGCTAGGTTACTGGCTTGATAGATTCTTGAAAGCTTTCTAAATAGATTTCTCAACACTAAAAACCCTTAGAAGCCAAGCTAGGACAATAATATTTTCTCTGGTGTCCCATTTGCGCACGAATTGAGAATGGAGTCCTTTTTTGGGAATGGAAAAGAAAAGGAAAATGATGATGATGAGGGGACAAATCTCTGGTGAGAATATTCCATCAACTGATACGAAGAAGGGGATTGGGTTACGAATGGGATGAATGGGAGGAAGGATTGGGAAATCATTAAAGATTCCACTAACAAGGAAGTGTTTGATGGAGATTTTTGATCAGGTTTGCTGAATTGAATGGATAGATTGAGAATTTAAAGCTGGATTTTGGATTTTAGGCTGATAAAAAAGAATGGAATCGTTTTGACAATGGGTGAAACCACTTCTGGCATTTGGCTGCACTGAGATTGATCTAATTGGATTTGAAGTTGTCTTTGTCTCAATGGACTTGATGCTACTATTTGGGTCTTATATCAGATCAATAGTTCTCAGGATTTTCAACCAAGTCCTAGGACCTGAAACGAGGCTAGGTTAGAGCCAAGACCAAGAACCCAGGCTAGGCCGGAGCCAAAGCCAAGAACCCAGGCTAGATCAGGCCAAGACCAATCATCCAGGCTAGGCCAAAGCCAAGAACAATAACCAGGCCCAGCTTCTAGCGAACTCGAGTACTTTTTGTGGATTAAGTCTGCAGCAAAGATAGGCCAGGGTCTGACTTCTGGCTTTGTTTTGAAATATAGACTGATCTGGCCTAAGAATCTAGCTTATGAAACTGTTTTAGTGGCTCAAGCTGTTCTAGTGACTAAACAATTTTTGATATCCGTCACACTAATCAATAACCACCAAAGCTCTAGTGAAATTTCGAACAGACGAAGTACAACTGATGTACAACAAACACAAAAACGCTTGAAAACAGTTCACACACAAAAATCCTAACAAAATACTCTAGTAAAAGAGCTGATAATGAATTTTCTAATTGAATCCCCGAATTCAAAGCTATTCAGCTCAGAAATGAGAAACAGAAAACAAAAACAAGTGATGCTGTCAAAAAAAAACGGTTTTCCATTATTCATGCCGCTTTTGTCTTTCATTTTGCATAAAATATTTGTTCCATTTGTTCCACGCGAACGCTTAGCGAGGAATTTTAAAAAGCTCAACATATTATTGAAATTTTAAAGTTTCAAAAAATGATTCAGAAAATTGGAGGAAATCTTTGATTGAAGAGAGCAAAAAAAGAGATGATATCAAGAAAATGGTACAGAAGAAGCCTTCTAGAAGTTGCTTTGAAAGAAAAATTGAAAAGAAATCTTAGATTTAGAAGTGGTCATTATTTTTGATTGGAGTCTTGAGAAATGATGGGAGAATCTCAGGGAAACCTTTTCTTCGTTTTGCTAAAGAATTTTCTTCTTCAATGAAACCCAAATTTGGAAGAGACTCGGGGAGAACTTTATGAGGATTTCGAAAGAAAATTTTGATATCTTGATCTTGAAACATTTGTATCTTTTATTGAAATCAGAGATTTCGAAGAAAATCCATATTTTGAACATTCAATAGGAAATTTTGAGATTTGAAGTTCTTAGTTTTAAAAAAAAGTTATTGGTAAACTTTTTGAAATGTCGAGGAACGTTATTAAAACAAAAATTTCCAATTTGCAGATTGACAACTTTGTTTTGAAAGCATTAACAGCGTTCAGAAAACTTTTTTTTTCAATCCAAATTTGAGAAACTATGAAATTTTTCGAAAACTAACCCCTGGACTACTAGGAAAAAAAATTTTTTCAATAAAAATTTTAAAAACATTAAATTTTTACCAAAAGGGAATTGAAAAATAGGAATTGAAGATTTAGATCGGATTTGAAAGGCCTGAGAAAACTGAATTCTTTTAACGTTGATTAAGCAAGCAAATTCAAAAGATAGCCCAATTTCAAGCCAACTCAAAACTTAAAACAGATTCTGGAACTGATTTTGCGCAAAACTGGAGCTTTCCCCCATAGAACAGAACCGGAATTGCCATAGTTGATAGGCATGAGTTCCTCTTGTTAAAGTTCGTTTAAGAAAAAAACAAACTACCCATAAATCTAATATAAAAACCCGGATAATAGCTTTTTGAAAATAAATTTATAAAGTACGATCATTTTGAGTTACTTTCAAAGTTTCAAAGTTTCAAAGTCAAAATTCAAAGTTTCAAAGTTCAAAGTTTCAAAGTTCCATTCAAAGTTCAAAGTTTCAAAACCCCCCGCTACATTCCCAGCATCAAAATATTTTTCAAATTGCAATTCTACAGTAAAATTTACTCAAATTTAAGCATACTCTATAATCTTTGAATCTATTTTTAAATTTATATTTGAAATTTTCCAACTCAAAACCTAAATGCCACAGTTTTAACACTCAAAAAAAACTGCCCATTTACGCTTTTTTTTTCTGATGTGGAGGCGCTTTTCATGACGCGGTGGGTGCAGATTTGGCGTTGAAAATTGGGGAATTGGAGAATTGGAGAATTGAAGACATTCATTTGCGATGAAAGGGGGAAAAACAAGAGAAATGCGGCTATTTTCGAGAACTTTCCCCGACAAAGCCACAAAAATAAAGAAAAATGGTGGAAAAAAATGAGAAAAAGAAAGGGATTCCGGAGGAATATTTGGACTTTTTTATTTTGAATAAAATAGAATGTGGTTGACATTTTGAGCTTTATACTTCTTTGCATTGATAAAGTATATTGCCGGGGTACGGTCAGGGGCACATTTTGTATTTTTTATCACATCAAAGCAATCTATTTTTTTATATCTCTTGCGAACCGCATAGAATCACATGAAAAGTAGAATGATTGGATAAAATTAGCAAAGATTACCTAGTTTCCGAAAATTGGTACGTTTTGGGACAAATGGGCTTTCAAAAGCATCGAAATCCCAAACAAAATGAATACTTTTTTTTTTGAAAATTTCAGACTTTTATGCCCATTGTCTTGCCGTCATTTTTTGCGGAGAAAAGCTTTCTTTCTTTCGGTGACAGAGAATTGAAAAGTCTCAAGGGAAAATTCTTAGATCAAGAAGAGAGAAATTTTGACAAAACCCTTGTGAACATGCTTATCCTTTTGAGGGAATA